GTTGCCGGACGGCCCAGCTGGCATCCCCGTGACGAAGTCCATCGTCACCTGCTGCCACGGTCGTTCGGGTGGCTCGAGGGGTTGCAGCAGCCCAGCTGGTCGCTGACGTGTCGATTTCATTGCTTGGCACACCCTGCATGAGGACACATAGCGCTGCACGTCGTTAGAGGAATCAGGCCAATAGTATTGACGGTGCAGTAGTTTCTGGGTTTTATCAACCCCGAAGTGTCCGGAGAAGTTCGAATCGTGGACTTCCTGAATGAGGAGTTCACGCAGCAGCCGGTAAGCGGGTACCCAAATCCGGTCGGTTCCGGCTTTTAGGTAATAATCCCCTTTCTGCGTCGTGGCCTGCTGATGATTCCCAGTCGTAAAGAACGGGTCCGTAGTGTAGCCATGGGTGAATAGTTCTGTAAGTAGTGGGTTCGAATGGGTGATGAGTACTGCAGCGGATTGTACTGTCGGTCGGGTCAGGGCGTCGGCGATGTTATTCGCCCCTTTTTTGTACGTGATGCGGTAGGTGAAGTGGCTCTCCATGTAATCCAGCCACCGAATCTGTCGTGGGTTGAGGTTGGGTTGGGCTCGCAGGTACTGTAGGGACTTATGGTCCGTGCGAACAGTGACGTCGGCGCCCACCAGGTAGCATCACCATAATTTAAACGCGTGTATGATGGCGAGCATCTCCTTGTCGTGAATCGGGTAGTTGCGTTCAGCCGCCTGCAGCTTGCGTGATTCGTAAGCTATCGGCTGCAACCCGTTCCCGAAATCTTGGAGTAGCACAGCTCCGATGGCGAAATCTGAGGCGTCGGTGACGACTTCGAACGGCTTCGATGGGTCGGCGATGCGCAGCACGGGAGGGGAAACCAGAAAATTCTTGAGTTCCTGGAAAGCCGCTTCTGCCTCCTCCCCCCACACAAAATCCCTGTCCTTGTGCAGTAGGTCGGTCAGCGGGCCGGTTATCCCCGCCATATTCGTGATAAACCGCCTGACGTAATTCACGAATCCGAGAAAACTGTGGAGTTCCGTGACATTCGTCGGGGACTTCCACTCCTGTATGGTCTTGATTTTCGCCGGGTCGATTTTAATGCCGTCGCGCGAGATGACGTGCCCCAAAAACTCCAACTCCTGCTTAAAAAACTCGCACTTAGACCCCTTGGTGATGAGTCGATTCTTCTGCAGTCGCTTAAACACTGCATCCAGGTCACGGAGGTGCTGCTCTCTTGTCTTGCTAAAAATGAGGATATCGTCCAAATAGACGATGACACATCGGTCTAGAAGATCCCGAAAAACCCTATTCATGGTGAGTTGAAATATCGAAGGCGCGTTCGTGAGGCCGAAAGGCATCACCGTGAATTCGTAACTCCTGTAGCGTGTACGAAACGCAGTCTTGTGACAGTCGTCGGCGAAGACTCGAATCTGGTGGTAACCGCCACGTAAGTCAATCTTCGAGAAGCAGCGAGCGCCGCGAAGTTGGTCGAGGAGGTCGTCGGTGCGTGGGATTGGGTAGCGAGACTTGATGGTCACCCGGTTCAACGCGCGATAATCGATGCACATGCGAAGCCCACTGTCCTTCTTCGGAGTGAACAGGATCGGTGCCGCGAACGGTGAGGTGCTCGCCCGAATGAATCCTTTCTCCAACAGTGCGTCAATTTGTCGGTGCAGCTCCTCGAGTTCCGGCTGGGTCAGCCGCCACCGTGTCCGAACAGTTGGTTGCGCGCAAGGTTCCAGCTGGATTTTATGGTCTTCGGGTCTCTCGGGTGTCTGCCCAGGTGGCAGATCGTTCGGGAAAATGTCGGGGTACTGTCGAATCAGCTCCGCTAAATCCGGAGGTACAGCTGCACACAGCTTCTCAATGTCCTTTCCGTCGGTGTCGACTGCCAACTCGCGTAAGCAGACAGCGAACAGCTGCGCGCCCTTGTTGAAGTGGCGAGCTATAGTGATAGCTTTGACGCACGGGGCTTGTATGTAGTCAGGTGTCCATGCAGGCAGCCGAATTAGCCCCTCGTGCTTGCTGATGCTGCACGATCATGTTGTCCAGTCGATGACGGGGTTGTGTCGTCGCAGCCAATCGCGTCCCAGCAATACGTCGCAGCCGTCCAATGTTGTCGCGAGAAACTTCATGCTGAAGCCGAAATCGTCGCCGCATTCGATCCGGACCGTCCGTGTTTCTTCCGTTATCGCCAGAGGCGTCCCATCCACGAGGCGTGCGTCGATTTCGGGCAGTCACCTGTCAAGTTGCAGCTTGCATCTTTTTGCGCTCGCCAAATTGAAGAGGCTATGGCTGGCCCCCCCATCGACGAACATTTTCAAATTATTTTTTAACACCTTGCCAGCGACCAGCACAGGGTGATCCACATGTGTATCCCCGTTATTCGGCCGAGTGCGATCGATTGCATGAATCGGAACCACGACTCGGTGGGGATGATGGTGTTCGGGCGACGGAGCACAGTCAGTAAAGGGCCCGCTAATTACTGACTCTTCCCATTTCCCTGCTCCTTCCTGTCGTCCCCTGTCAGCGGCATTTTCTCCTGGCAGTCTTTCCTGTAGTGACCCACCTTCCCACACCGAAAACACTGACCCTTAGGAGGGCGGTCGGGCGTATGGACGGCGTTGATTGTGGCCCGATGGGTCTGGCCACGAAAGCTTCTCCCATCCCTGGAAGCTGCTCTCGCGTACTGCATCAGCGCATCCGTTGACTCCGCCACTCGTACTGCTTCGAGGAACGATGTCGGGCGGCTTCTGCGGACCTCAAACTGTATTTCATATTTAAGGCCGCTGACGTACTTATCCAACCGCTCTGCTTCCGACATGTCGTCGATTTGGTCGGCGAAGCCCATAAATGACGCCGTGTAGTCTTGGACAGAAGCCATCTGCGACCATGCACGCAGCTTCATGCGAGCTTGCTCCGAGGCGGATACGTGGTCGAAGCGATCCCGTAAGGCTGCGCCCCACTCCTTCCATGTGCGTATCTTGGTCACACCGAAGATTGGTTCTGCCACTTGATTAACCACTGTAGAGGTCCCGTCTGCCGCATGTGTCACACCTGTCGGCGTCCCTGTTTCCAAGGTCCGGCGCCACCATTCAAGCGCTGCACCTCGAAGAAGCGAAACCGCGTAATTAATACGCGTGGCGTCGTCATTAACTCCGGGTGCAGTAAAAAAGACTTCGACCCCGAACAGCCACCCTTTTACCGTAACCGTCTTGTCCGTAGGATGGGCTTGATGGGCTTTAGCTTGATCGTCGTCACTGCAACTGGCGCTGCTGCCGCTCGCTGCCTATCTTCTTCTTCGAAGTCACGTGTGAGCGCATCCAGCGGATTGCTCATCGCTTGACTGTTGCCCTCGCCTTCGTCCACAGGCGACTCCTGACGCGCTTCACCTCGCGTCTGGCGTAGCTCGGCGTTTTCCTCCCGTAACGTGGTCACTTCCGCCATTAATGATTCCATGCCCCGTTTCATTTCTGCCACTTGCGCCATCAGCCGGTTAACAGCCTCCTGATCCATGTGTCTAACGCTTCGTCTGGTGGGCAAGCGGGTACCCGTGGTATCCAGGCAAGTGAAAACACGAACTATCGGAGTCGGGCAGGATTGAGTTAACAATCCCTGCAGCCAACCGTCGTGTAGTCACTAATCCAACCACACCCGTGCCACCAAACTACCCTCGAAAAGCGGGGTGAACTAGGAAAGTAGCTCTGATACCAGGTGTTATGAGTTGTAAAAGAGAGTGCGGCAGGGCTGACGTTTCATTTTAAGCTTCCCTGATTTTGGGGAAAATTTTCCCCCTCTATTATGGGTGCACATTTTCCAGAAAAGCAGTACCCTGATTGCTCAGGGTTGTAAAGTAGTTAACACTGATGGTTCAGGGTCGAGAACTGAACATCAGAGTAGTAACGCGCGCTTTGTTACCGGGGAAAATATCCCCACTCTCCATAAAGTCTCGAAGTTTCGATCAGAACGAAGTTTCGAAGAAACTTCGTCTCGATATAGCGGGAAGGGGGGGGGGGGGGGGATTATGCACATGTGGGGGGATCACTGCGATCAATCCAAGGCGGGGTCATCGGAAAGAAACTTCCAAGAAACTTCCTCTCGATAAGTCGGGGAAAATATCCCCACTCTCCATAAAGTCTTGAAGTTTCGATCAGTACGAAGTTTCGAAGAAACTTCGTCTCGATAAAGCGGGAAGGGGGGGGGTTACGCACATGTGGGGGGATCACTGCGATCGATCCAAGGCGGGGTCATCGGAAGGAAACTTCCGAGAAACTTCCTCTCGATAAGTCAGGGTCCACATAGTCGATACTCTGTTAAGTCAGGGTCCACTAACAGCCTAGTCTGTTACACTGTACTCAAAATCAGGGATAGCTAAACTATTACTCTGATTGGATCAGGGCTGGAAATTCAATAACTCTGAAATTTCAGTCTCCACGAAGTGGAAAGCCTGAAATCACCCTGAAATCAGGGTAATTACCCTGATAAAATCAGCCCTGGAGTGCGCAGGTAAACGAATAACGAGGCTGTGACTGAATGAACTGCGAATACAATGAATGCACAGACTAAAGTAGGGCTAGCCTAGCTAGGAGGAAACATCGGACAAGCGAGGTTGGGTGCAGGTTTGGCGATGGGAATGCCGAAGGCGACGCGAGGAGCCTCGGCAGCGTTGAAATCGGCCGAACGTGCGAACTCCGAAAATCGGGTTGTACGCGAAGCAGTCAACCCCGATAAGGAATTCGGGAAAATTCCTTACAATGGTAAAGGCATTTGTACACCATTAATCACACTAACCAATCCACTTCCCACAAGCTATTTCTGCACCTCACTCTGGCAAACAGATCCCTTGTTGAGTTAGAGTTCATACATGCTAAGTAAGAAAAAGACAACGTTCAATCTAGGTGTGCACGCAATTGTACTTCATATCACCGCAATTCAGGATGCAACCTACGTAAAATGTACACAACAATCCAACATGTTCTTCAAGTAACTGCTGCACCCACCTTTTCCAAATCACTAGTTAGTAGGAGCCAAACTCTGCATGCCAACGCTCATGCCGCTCGATGTCTCCAGAGGCGACACTAGGTTGGATTTTCCTGAGCGCGACCTCGAAGTCAGCCATGGTCACCGGCTCATTCATGTCCTCCCGAGTCATGCTACGAATCTCCTCTGGTGTCTTGCCTGCAATCTTCCGCCTCATTCCATTCATCGATGCATCCCTGCAGATGTTGGTGATGTCATCACCACTGTAGCCATCCGTACGCTTTGCCAGCTCATCAACGTCCACATCCGAAGCCAACTGGAATATCACCAAAGGTGGCAAGGGAGGCTGTCTTAACAGAAGAAAGCAAAAAATGATAGAAGTTTGCAGTGACAATGGCACAAGACAAATGAAAGGGACCAGGGGAGACAAGGACAGCCAATCACAACAGGAAAGATACAGCACATTACAGAAATTTGAGCACGAGCGGGGCCACACCTCAAGGGAGCGCAGATTGATGTTCATGAGGGCAGCTCGACTGTCATGTGGTGGCAGAGGGATGTATATTCGCTTCTCCAGTCGACGTCTGCATGAGCAATGCAAAGGTTGCAATGAGAAAAAAAACGATCAGAGCATCCCTTGTGGCATTCTTTTCCTGCCTGATGATATAGCCAGATACTCTGTATTTCTCTCAACTCTACCAGACCCCACACCCAACCCATCCACTCCCCCAGCTTCTTCCCACCTCCTTCCCCATCCGTTTTCCCTCTCATGCGACCCCTCATTCCTCTACTGTGCCCCATTGCTCACCGCAGCGCCTCATCGAGGTCCCACGGGAAGTTGGTGGCGGCGAGCACCATGACAATCTTGCGCTCGCCATCCGGTGATGCGGCATTGTTCATGCCGTCAATCTGCACCAGCAGCTCTGACTTCACCCGCCGAGATGACTCATGCTCGCCCGCCGCACTGCAGAGGGGTTTCATGAGACGGGGGTGGTGGGAGAAGGGAGTGCCAGGAGGGAACGGATGTCAGGGAGGAGTGGGGAAAAGTGGGGGCGAAGTCAACAGAAAGCTTGTAGCTTGCAGGAAGGTTCAAGTGCAGAGGATGACACAGAACACAGTCACCAAAGACGTGCATACTACGTTGATCGGGTGGAGTACGCTTACCCTCGTGACGTGCAGAGGGAATCGATCTCATCAATAAACACCGTGGAGGGGGCGTAAGCACGAGCCATCTCAAAGAGGCAGCGCACCATGCGCTCGCTCTCGCCCCTCCACTTGGACGCGAGCGTGGCGGAGGAGACGTTAAAGAACGTGGTGCCACACTCTGTCGCCACCGCCTTGGCCAGCAGCGTCTTGCCCGTGCCTGGCGGGCCAAACATCAGCACTCCCTTCCACGGCCTCCGAATGCCCTGCCGTGGGAACACGCAGCACGAAACGGCCCTGTGAGCACGATTAAACTGCTTGCACCACTCTCAGATTCTGAGAGATTGTCCGGGAAGGGCGGCAGCAGGAATCAGCAGAGCACAGCGAGGGCTCCCCCCCTACACTACATTCTAACGCACGCACCTGGAAGTAGTCGGGCATGAGCAGCGGCAGCACAACAGCCTCCTCCAGCAGTCGCTTGGCGTCAGCCAGGCCGGCAATGTCCCCCCAGCGCACGCCAGGCGACGACTCCAGCACGTCCCTCTCCAGCATGGCCACCAGCTCGGGGTCCGACCCCTCAAACCGTGGCTTGCGCGGTACCACCTCCTTGCCCTCCTCCTCCTGCCATTCACAGTCACCAGTGGGATTGATCAGCGTACGATGCAGCAATGAATGTGCACATTATACGAGCTGGATGCAGAAGGGGAGGGACAAACCACAGAGTGAGATAAATGATAAGAGGAAGTGAAAGTACTGCTACACGCGCCAGGGATTCGATGTATGTAGAACACAAGAACAACGATCCGGCAACAGAAAGGCCAGAAAGCAGCACTGTGACGGCGTTGAAAAGAGGAGGTCGTACCGACGGTGGGTCACTCGGCGGGCCTTTGGGTTCCCTGGGCTTGCCAACAGCGCTGTTGATTACAGCTCCCACGGACACTCGCCTGTTCCGCGCGTCGGCCCCTCGCTCCGCCCTCTCCACCCCTGCTCGCTTCGATGCTTGCGAATCCGAACCTATGCTATTACGCGACCCTGCGCCCCCTATGCGTGATCGCACACCAGCTACCCCGCCAGGCGTCCCTTTACTCGCACCGCCACCTCCCTGCATACCAGGCGATCGGCCAAACGACCCGGGAGAGGTTAATCGGCTGCTCTGCCTGCTGCCGCTGTCGAAACCGCCGCCTGCTCTCCCGCCTACGCGACCGACAGCAGACGCACGGCGATTATTGGTGGGGGAAGTGAGATCCCTGGACGGTGCTGGCCTCCACACATCTGGATCCTGAGAGCCAAACGGCGCGTCGAAAGAGTCGTCGTGGTGCCTGCCGGAAGAAACGGGAGAGTGGCCGTTGGTGTAGCGAGGGTTGCACGAGAACGCTGCAGACCCCGCTGGCTCCTTGAAGACCTGACGGTCGTATTCGAGGCTCTTGGTGAGGTCGAGCTCGTCCTGTACCTGCTTCTTGCAGCTCATCCAGTTGGACCGTGTGTACGGGTCGTCCACGGTCTGAAGGTGCCTGTATTTGTGATATAAAAACAAATCAGAGGCAAAAATCGAGGAACATAGCACCATTTGAGGTAATCATGTGCCTGGTAGTCAGTGGGTATGGTGACAACGGACTAGTGAAGAAACCTGGAAGAGAGGCTGGTAGCTGAATTACTGAGACTTATATTTACGTAACTTTCAGGGGATAGGACACGTGTAGACTTATCTTCCTGCGTGAAAAATACGTCCGGCTTTCAAGCTACTAGTCTGCACATCCTTACTTGTTTATTTGAGAAATCACCCCATCGTAATATATCAGCGCGCTGTCGTAGTTCCCAAGCGTGGCGTGCTCCCTTGCAACCGTCAGCTGATCAACAACCCCTTTTAACGCCATCGAGTACACCGTCGCTAAGAACAGCGAAATGGAGCATGAGACGACGAGCCTACCCTGCCATAACAGACGTGCCTGTCAAAGGATCTACTAGGAATAAGAGCCTACCGGAAAAGACGATGTCCTAAGCCTAACAAACGAACTAAGAGAAAGAAAGTAGAAATGTGGTTGCGACCTCGAAGTTGTCCAGGGATGGCTCACAACAGACACTCCCTAGAACCAACAGACCAGAGGGATGATGATGAACAAGGAACTCGAAATTCCCTCGCACTCTGTGAAGGCGAAGCCAGGGTTGGCTGATGCAGGGAATGAAAATCGAACCCCACTGACAAACTGCCGTGTCGCCTTGGCCCTGACACAAGGAACGACAAGACAAGATCATCCTTGCTGTGTGATTCGCTATAGCCCAAGGTACACTTGTGGGAGAAGGAAATAATGCGATGAGTACTTTTCGAGGAAGTCCCGTTGGGTTCAAGAGAATTTCGTGAAGGTTTGGGGATAACGGCACTTGATGCGTGAGCGACACGGATTTTGCGACTCCCAGTGTCGCGTAAGGGGGGTGATTTGCGATGTGCGACTCCCATGTGCCACATGTTGGCGGTGATGGGTGAATGGACCATTTTGATTGGTGCGTCAATACAAACTTTCGTCACAAGCAACTAGGACGTTCGTCGACATGCATGCAGCAAGTGCCGGTATAAAGCCCGAGCGGCTCCCTCATCAGTCCTCTTCCCCTTCCATTTTCTCTTCCACACCTCCTCCAACCCCAGTTTCTCCACTAGAATTCCGGAATTCCTGCAGGGGCGCCTTCTCTGCACTGAGAGCACTGCAAACCCTATTTCTTCAGACATTCAAGCTTATCCCAGCACCTCCTGCCACCACCATGGTTTGTCCTTTATGGCTGCAGAAAGCTCGGTGGTGTTAATTGCTCGTTCCGTTTCGTAGGTTTTTACAGGATTCTGATGTCTTGTCATTTGATCCTAATCGGATATTACGAAGCTTTTCTTCCATTTCCTCGGTTGCGTTTAGTGCCTCATGAATATTAGTTATATTGGCGTGTCCTTGGAACACAGGGGCACACAGTTAGTAGCCGCGGAGTCCGCAGTAGCCACGATGTAGGGCCGTCTAGCAGCCTGCTTCAGTGCTGCAGCAAACATTTGCAGAACTAAAAGGCGGCGAAATTAGTTTGCCTTGATCGAAGTCCGGTGTTAATGCGCTGCTGGGCCGCTGCGTCGTTCTCTCACATGAATGCACCATGCTTACCTTCCTGTGTGCCTGCAGGTGCTATCTAACGACATCGATCTGCTTCACCCTCCAGTGGAACTGGAGCAGCGCAAGCACAAGATGAAGCGACTGGTGCCCACGCCCAACAGCTTCTTCATGGTCAGTCGCATACCCGAGTAGCGTGTGCAGAGAGATTCTGCAGTCTCTGGAACTCTTGGGAAGGATTTCATTGGGCCCTACGACCTATTTAGCACCACTATGTTGGTCGATCTTCTTGTGCACCTGCTCATCAGGGCCTGCAAACCTCCTAATGTTTCTATTCCTCTTCCCTCCCCGTGTGCACGTGAATCTCAGGACGTCAAGTGTCAAGGCTGTTTCAACATGTAAGTTTCGGTCCCTGCATTTCTTGTTATCCTAACCTACCCCCGCGTTTCCACCATGTGAGTTTCTGCATGTGCGTATCATGTCGTCTTACCGCTGTGTTGTCTCCATTTTTGCCCATATGTTCCATCTTGCAGCACGACTGTGTTCAGCCACTCGCAGACGGTGGTGCTCTGTGGCAGCTGCTCCACCGTGCTGTGTCAGCCCACCGGTGGCAAGGCCCGCCTCACAGAAGGCTGCTCCTTCCGCAGAAAGGGCGATTGAATTGCTGCTTCTCAAGTCTCCCTGTTCATACACACTGCGGGTTGTTTTTGGAGGGCTAATGTGTAAATGTGATGGCTTAGTTTACGGAAAGTTGCAGTCATAGCTTCGTCACTGTTGTACATCTTGTGGCAGTAGTAGAATGGCTTGTGTTGGGCTCTTGGCTGAGCCAACTAGTTCAAGCCTGACATCTTTGCATAATGCCTCCAAAGTAAACTCAATGTATGCAATCTTTCACAGTACCATAGTGCAAGTAAACCAATACTTTTACTGCATTTACGAATACTTTTATTTGCTAATAGTAACGGAACTAGCACGCTTATAACTACCCATTCCCACCCTTCATCTCCTACTCCACGATGGCATCCGACGGCTGGAAATGCTCATAGCATGGCTGGCAATGATGTTCCCTGCACTGCCAACCCCATAGTTGAGAGCCCTTGGGCTTGACGCTGTAACGCGTGATGCTGCAGCCGAGGGGCTTGTTCCTCTAGCACTGGGGCTGTGCCCATAATAAGAGGAAGCAGTGGGACTCTGACCATATACTGAAACGGCTCTAGGGCTTTGCCCATAGTACCCCGTTGCTCTGGGACTCTGCCCATACAACCCTCCTGCCCCTGCTGCCCCCAAGCCTCCTCCATACATTCCCCCAACTGCCATCCCGCCACCCAGACTTCCCCCGGCTGCATAACCACCCCCCGGGGCACCAACACTGGTGGCGCTCCCTGTGCTGCCTGCTCCTGCAACGCCTGCAAGGAAAGCCGCTGCTCGAGGGCTCTGGCCAAAGCGCGGAGGGCTCTGCCCATACGCCCCTGCTGCTGCTGCCGCTGCTGCTGCTGATGCTGATGCTGGGCTGCCCGACTGCAGCCCGTACGGCGGAGGGCTCTGGCCGTACCCCCCTGCTGCTGCCGCCGCTGCCATGGCTGTCGCTCCTGCTGCAGACCCGAGTGAGTGCGCGTGGTGGTGGTGGTGGTTGTATGGGGACGTGCTGGAGTGGTGCCCTGCTGCTGTGTGGAAAGGCGAGGAGGACGACGAGCCATGGGAGGGAGCAGTGGGACTGTGGCCCGCAGCAGCAGCAGCAGCAGCAGCACTGTGTGTGGGAGTGACCATGCCCATGCCCATGCTCATGTTGTTCCCAGCATGGTGGGGGCTGTTGCCGCGCAGGGCAGCGCTGGTGATCATGCTGCCGATGTCAGCAGCCTTGGGGCTGGCAGCCGTGGGGGAGAAGCCACTGCGCGGACTCGCACTGCGATACGAAGCAGACCCAGACGGAGCAACAAGGCCACCACCGTACGCACTGCCCGCACCGGTGGCTGCAGCGCCGGTCAGGGGCGATGTGGGGTCGATGTGGCGCGGGGAGGAGAGGGCGAAGCGTGGGCTGGTGCGCGCTGCTGAGTCGGTGAATGCTCGTGCAGCGGACCACGAAGGGCTTGTGTCCCTCACCGCTCGCGGCGTGACTGACGGCCGCCTTGCCACCCAGTCCTCCCTCTGCATGGGGCGAAAGAAAGCGAGGGCATGGGAGAGAGAGGATGGGAGAGAGGGGATGGGAGAGGGGAACGGAGGAAATAAGTCGTGAATTTCACTGCTAGCGATGATCATATAGCCGCTGTAGAAAATTCTCACTCGTCACGCGGCATGGCACGGCACAACATCCCGTCACCCATCATCACATATGCAGGCACGTACGAGGCAGGGGTCCTCGCTCTCGATCATGTGTGCACGGGACGGCATGGCATGGCAAGGCATCCCTTCACCCCCCACCCCCTGCACATGCACGCAGACCCACCAGGCAGGGGTCCTCGCTCTCGAGCATGTGCACGACTTGCTTCATCTTGGGGCGCTTGAGCGCGTTGGGCTCCAGGCAGCGCAGCGCCACGCCCACCACGTACGTGGCGTCCTCTATGGCCACCGGCACTGCTGCCGTGCCGCCCATGTCGGGCGCACACAGGCGCGGGTCCACCATGTCCAAGAAGCGCCCCTCGCCCGCCATTTGCTTCGCCCACTTCACTAGGTTCGACTGGGGTGGGGCGAGGGAGGGAGAGCGAGGGGGAGAGGATGAAAGATGGATGGGAGAAAACATTGAGATGGGTAAAAATGAGCGGTGGGGTTTAGGGGATGGGGTGGAGAGAAAGGACTGGCAGTCAGGGGGAGCAGGGAAGGAGGTGGGAGGGGTGGGGGGGGGGAGGAAATGGCTTCCAGTGCTGATGATGAGGGGGGGCATGGGGAAGGAATGGGGAGAGAATGGGGGAGGGACTGGCAGGTTGAGGTTTATTTACCTCGTGCGAGGGGCGCTGGCTGTCGATGGGGCGTCGGCCGGTGATGATCTCGAGCAGCAGCACTCCGAAGCTGTACACGTCACTGCGCTCCGTGAGCACGCCCGTGTTCATGTACTCGGGCGCCATGTACCTGCACAGCACAGCACACCCATGGGGGCAGAGGAGGTAGAGGGGGGGAGGGGAGGGGAGGGGAGGAAGGTGAGACACGTAGTATTCTTTATCAGCACGCCCGTGTTCATGTACTCGGGTGCCATGTACCTGCACACATGACGGCGAGAGAGGAGAGGAGGGGCGCGGGTCGGGGTGAGGTGGGTAGGTTCAGCAAAACTGACACCAGGGATCACAGGAGGGGGGTAGTGCAGGGCGAGGGGCACGAGGGGCACGAGGAGCAGCAACGGAGCAGCAATGGAGCAGCAGCAGCGCACTGACCCGAAGGAGCGCAGGGCGTGGCGCGCGGAGGCGTGCTTGGGGTCGCTGCCGACGATGCGCGCAAAGGCGAAGTCGCAGAGGCGTGCGTCGCAGCGGTGGTCCAGCAGCACGTTGGCCGCGCGCACGTCACTGTGCACCACCCGCACGTCGTGCAGGTATGCCAGGCTGGGAGGGAAGGACAAGGGGAAGGGGAAGGGGGAGATGGGGGGATGAGTGGTGCGAACGGGAGGTCTGTCGCTGCGCACATCGCTGTGCACCACCCGCACGTCGTGCAGGTGCGCCAGGCTGGGATGGGGAGGAAGGGGAGTAGGGGGAGGGGGGAAGCAGGAAAGAGGGCAGAGATGGGGGCGTGGCATGGGACGGAGGAGAAGGGGGATGAATGGCGCGAAATGGGAGGAATGAATGACCAGGAGGGGACGACGCTGCAACTTCAAAGTGAGTGAGGCTTCTCTCCCACCCAACCTCTTGGCACTCCTCCCCTCCTCCCTTCCGCACCCCCCCAACACAATCCCTTCCCTCCCCACTCCCCAACCCTCTCCGCTTCTTTCACTAGAGCTCATCAGCACTCACCCTTTTGCGCATCCCACGGCAACGTGCATCCGCATCGGCCAATCAATGGCCTCCATCTGCGCCCCGGCGTTGGCCGCCAGCGTGGCGTCGTCAGGATGCAGCCACGTGTCCAGATCGCCATTCGCCGCGTACTCCGTGACGAGCATGCGCTCCGCGCCCCCCGCGGAGCCGCAGTCCGCTGGTTCCGCGCAGCACCCGCCGATGAGCGCAATTAGGTTGGGGTGGCGCAGTGTCGCCAGAGTCTCCACCTCGAAGCGGAACTCGCGGGGGGTCTGATCGGGACTGGTGGGGGAAGCAGGGAGGGGGAGGAGCCGGGGGAGCGGGGGGGGGGGGCGGGTTGAGGGCATGCTCATATGCAAGGACGGCGAGAGCAAGAATCAAGCGCGCACGGTGCGGCCTACTCACTTGTACTGCGTCAGTCGTTTCACGGCAGCCGTGCTGCCGTCCGCCAGTCGCGCGCGGTACACCGTACCGTACCGCCCCGTGCCCACCACGTTGCGCTGCGCGTTGCGCCCGAACTCGTTCGTGGCCATGGCCAGCTCGCTCACAGAGAACCACCGCAACTCGCCCCCCACGCTCACTCCGCTCCCCGCTACACTGCCGTCGTCGGATTGCGTCGCGATGCCATTCGAGCCGTTGATTCTCGCCATCGGCGGCAGCGGCAGGTCTGCGGCATGAGCACCTGCGGCAGTGGAGGAAGCGGCGGAACCACTTGCGCCCATCTCCCCCCTATCGCCCGCCCGCCTGTCCTCCGCATCCTCCACGTCCGCCGCCCTCAGCGCCCGTCCCGCCGCGCCGTACGCGGGGCGGAGGCCCGCCAGCGTCGCCGCTGGCGCCGTTGACGGGGGGAGGCCAGGCGGAGGCGGCAGCGGGTCTGCAGGTGCGGCGGCGGCGGAAGGGGGCAGCCGGAGTGTGTCGTCGAGCGGAAGATGCGGCGCTGCTTGCGGCTGCTGCGGCGACGTAGTGGCTGCCCTCGCCCCTGCTGCACCTGTTGCGGACGACACTCGGGGCATGGCGGCGGCAGCGGCGGAGGAGCGCGACGCGGCGGGGAGCGAGCGGAGCGAGGGGAGAGGAACAACGGGCGGGATGATCACGGGAGGATGCTGCATGGGCGACAGCACAGGTGGTACGCCTTGATTGGTCCGCGGAGCTATCACAGGGCTAGCTGGTTCCTGAACCCCCCCTGCCTGCCCTGCTGCCGCCGTCGCAGAAGCGCCAAGTGCGGTGGCGGTGGCGGCGGCGGCGGCGGGAGCAGCGCCGGTTCTGGCGGCAGCAGCCCACGAGGGCAGGCTCCTCACCCGCTCGCCGCCGCTGCTCTCCACGAGCTGCTGCACGCTCTGCTCCGCCGCACTCTCCGCCTCGTCGCCTCCTCCCCCGTCCACCTCCTCCCCGCTCTCCTCGCTGCTCGAAGCCTCCTCTTCCACATCCTCCTTCCGCTCAGTCCCTTCCACCGCGCCTCCCGCTCCTTCCTCCCCTTGCGCCTCGTGCGGCAGCGCGTTCGCGTTACCCGCGCCCTGCTGCTCCTTGTGCGACTGCCTCCATCGCCCCAGCAGCCTCGACACAGCAGCGGCCGCAGCGCTGCTGACCGTTGTGCCCGAGCTCTTGCTCCTGCTCTGGCTGCTGCTGCTCTCCGCTGCGCCGCTCGTCGCCCCCCCGCCCGCGCCCGCCTTGCCAATGCTGCTCTCCGCCGCACTACCCTCACCCTCGCCGTCTTTCGTGGCTGCCGCACTACCGCTGCTGCCTTCGGAGGAAGTTCCGCTCCTCCCGCTGCCGCTGCTGTATTCGCTCCCCTCCTCATCTTCCTCGCCCTCTGCGCTCACCACGCCCGCGGCCGCCGCTGCGGCGGAGGGGGCGGCGGCGCCCGCGGAGAGCTCCGCCGACGGGGATGACGACGGCGACTCCGCGCAGTGAGCTTCGCCAGCTGAGGGGACCGCCGCAGCGCTATCAGCGCGCGCAGACGCCGCAGGAGCGGCGGCGGTGATGGCAGCAGTCGTTGCAGCGGCAAGGCTGACCGGCGCAGCGCGCAACTCATCGCGCGCGTCGTCCCCACTGCTCTCACCTTCACCGTCCCGCTCCGCCTCCTCGCCCGCTCTCTCACTCTCGCCCTCCGCCGCCCCCTCTTGCGCTTTCCCCCGCTTCTTCCCCCATCCCCCGAACCTCCCCCCAGAGCTCGCCGCCGATGCTGTCACTGCCACTACAGCCGCGTAGCTACCCACCGATGCTCCGCTTGCGTGCCCGCCATCCGCGCTGCTCGCGCTCGACGCTCCCCTGAGTGACGTGGAGGGGGGGGGAGGTAACGGCGGCAACGTGGCGAAGGAAAGCCGTGACGACGGCAACGGTCCGACGTCAGAAGTCCACGGAGCGTGATCAGGAGCCGTCTTATTGGCTGCAACGGGGATCACGGTCACTGGAGGTGCGGTGAGCGGCTGGTCCTCCCCGTGCTTTGCGGTGTCGATCGCGCCGCCAGATGCGGCTGCTGCTTTACTAGTCTGGAATGGCCCGTCTACTATATTGAGGCGCACCTCGGCAGCGTCTTTAGGAGGCCGCGAGTAGGCAGCGCCGGATTGCGTACGCGCGCCCTTGCGCCGTCCGCACCAGCCCATGCGCCACAGCAGCAGCCCGATGGCTACCGCCAGCAGCATCGCGAGTCCCACAAGCACGCCCGCTACTATCACCACCACCTGGCTCGACCCGCCCGATGATGACGTCGAATTGCTCGAGGAGTTATCAGCGGGAGTTGCGGCGGGAGTCGCCGCGGTAGTCGCGGGATCGCCTTTGCCGGCGGCAGGAGCGGAGTTGGAGCCAGTCCCGGGAGTGTTGGCGGTTGGAGGTGAGGCTGATTGCGACGAGCCGGGATCAGCGGCGGGAGGGGCGGGGGACGACGGTGCGGCACAGTCGGGCGGCAGACCCAGCTGCGGGGGACCGCAGAGAACGAAGCCGGGGCTCTGGGTGAAGTTGAAAGACGCGCCGGTGGCGGAGAGGAAGGCGAGCGACGGGGACACCTTGCCCGTGAGCTTGTTGCCGTCCACGTGCAGATCGCGCAGCGTCGTGAGCTGGGATAGCGACTCGGGGAGCGAGCCTTTGAAGCGGTTCGAGTTCAGCTCGAGGTATTTGAGCTGCGTTGGGGGGAGGCGGAAAGGGAAAACGCGGGGATAAGAGCGGCGCATCGAAGATGGAGAACCGGTGAGGCAGGAATGCAGACCACCGTCAGTTGCAGCTCAGGCCGTGCTTATCAGAAATTAGCACTGCGGCTGTTGCGGTGCAGGAGAGGGGGGAAGGGGGGCGGGGGAGTGGCGATAGAGGCGGGAGAGGAGGAAGAGGCGAGGAGAACTATGGACGCACCTGCGAGAGGTCGGAGAGCCAGTCGGGAATGGAGCCCTGCAGCTGGTTGTGCGATAAGTCCAGCATCGTCAGCTGCGACAGCGACGACAGCTCGGGCAGCGGCCCGGCGAGCTGGTTAGAGGAAAGGAGAAGCGCCTGCAGATTCGCGAGGCTGTTGAGCGACGAGGGCAGCGATCCCGTGAGAGCGTTTCCCTGCAGGTTGACGGTCGTGACGCCGTACAGCTGCACTAGCTGCTCCGGCACCTGCCCGCCCAAGCTGCGGTTCGCTAGATCCACCGCCACCACGTTGTTGCTCGCGTCGCACCGCACGCCCTGCGCGGATGCGCGAGGAGCCGGGGGTTCGTGAGGGGGGAAGGGTAGAAGGGGATGGTGGAGAGAGGGGATCGGGGAGAAGCGGAGATGGTGAGCTGGGAGATTTACACGCGTTGTATGGAATTGCAGGGGAAATGCGATGATTCGGCGAATAGTATTTACATCTGATTGTGTTAGTGGAGGTAAGGCAACCCAAGGAAATGGAATTAATGTGAAGGAACTGCAAGAGCAGGGATGGGAAGGATTGGGGGGCGAACCAGGAAGGGAGCGGGTGAGCAGGGATCCTGCTGATTGGTCCACGTGGTTAGCACAGATCCCGCTGGATCCAGTACGCTCTTCAGGGATTCCCAGTCGGCGGCTGATGCGGGGCTGGCGCACAGCCACAGCACGATGGCTGCCAGCACAACCGCGTGCCGCGCTGCCGGCTCACGGTGTGCCATTGCCTTTCGCGCACCTCGAAGCGTGATGCGATCTGCTACTAGAAACCGAACGCGAAGGGTTGACTTGGAAGGAAGGTAGAGATGAGCTACACGGGTCGACGATTAACCTAGTGTGAGGTTAGTGCGGTTGACGCAGATGTGGTACATGTGTGATGCGATCGTGTATGCGCTGACACATAGCGGAATGCTGGTAGATTTCAATGTTACTGGTCACGGACTAATGGCGTCGACCTTGCATGTACCAGCGGAGAAGAGTCGTAACATTTCTTGGAGAAAATCAGCCTCTTGATCAAGGTCAAAGACGAATTCAAGTTTCTGCCTTCACTTTCCACTTCGAAATGAGCAGAGTTCACCAATGCTGTTCGTGGTAGGAGTGAAGTGGCTAGGTTGAGTGGGAAGGAAAAGAGTTTTCTATCCTTGTGAGGCGCAGTCAAAGTTGCCCTCGTGGTCCATCTAGACAAGGCAAGCAACACGAACACAATACGGAATGCAACGAGGAGATGGAGACCAGGACACACATGCGACTGTAAACCCAATGTCACGTCTCGGGGAGGCTCGCACGCACGGCGAGTCACAGTAGCGACATTTGCGCCACGGTCGGTTCGGGCGTGACCTGACGTGCGGCCTGGCGCGCGGCTCGCCCAGCTTGTATGGCTCGTGCTCCCCGCAAGAGACGGTAATGCGGCTGCCTGACCCCCGCGTCGCGTAGCTCGCTTTGGTTGACGGCGGAATGCATGGTGTGTTTGGTTGGGCGCTTTCGCCTCCAATCAATGTCTAGAACTAGGTATGGGCTTCGACGAGCCAAAGCGAGACAGGTCGAACCTTCACGACGCTGCCTCGGTTGTGACATCCAAGACCACACCCATTGGTGGAGCTCGTGAGAAGCACACAGGCTCGGTGAAAGTCAAGGGTGTGCTGGGCTTCAAAAGGGTGTGACATGATAGGGCGGATTGCTCAGTAAGTGTGATCACAGTACAGTGCATAGCGAAGCATAATCGTCCAAGGTTGGGAGAAGTGTGATAAACGCTGACATCAAAACGGGGAAGCTAAATGAAGATAAATAGAACAAGAAACTTTAGGTATTATTCTTATTAGGAGAAGTTCAGGGTCACCAACAACCTTTCAACCGGACTGCTAAGCGTCGTGCCTCAGCAATTACTTGACTGAGGTCCAGATTATTTTGCTTGGTGAGACCATGGCAGAGCAGCAGAACCTCATCCAGCCCTTCACATTCCAGAAGAGCTTCCCTTAGCGAACATATAAGCACCACCATCACAAACAAAAGCAGGCTTCCTGTTGGTGGTCCCAACTCCTCTTCCCCTCCATCATCAGGATCGCCATTCTGCTGCTCATCCTGTACTTGCACCTTGTCCGAAAGACATTGGGAGACGACAGGCGCACTGCACTGTGGCCCATTTCCATCCCCACAAGAATCACTCGTTGCACATGCCTTTCCCCCATGGATTACGAGAGCTGTGCCCACCCTTTGCTGCCCGCTGCCATACCCACTCCTCCCATCCATGCAACCCGCTGCAGTGATATTCTCCTTATGATCATCACACCTAGGCAACTCATTAATCCACAGCTTCTCATCACTCACCCCTGCCGGGCCCACTAGCTGCTTCCTCTCCTCCTGATATTTACCCGCCAGCTCCTCCCCCTCCTCCTCGTGCCCCCCCTGCGGCATGGCAGCAGCCAGGGCGTCAGCCCAGCACACTTCCCACAGCATGAGTGTCTGCGGCAGGGGCAGGTCCCGGCGCATGCCCACCACCACCATGCGGTACGCAAACAGACAGTCCCCGCCGCCCATGTCCCTCACTTGCCCGTGCAGCTCGGGGTCGGCGAGGCGGAGAATGCGGCCCAGTGCTGCGAGCTGGCGGTGAATACCTGACTCGTCCAGCAGGAAGTTGAGGCGCATGCCGTGCAAGTCAGGGGGGGACGGCCGAGAGAGTGTGGGTGAAGGGAGAGGGCGCACTGGGGTGGTTGTGGTGTAGTGGAGAGGGGTGGCTCGGGGGGGCGGAGTGCGAGGAGAAGGCATGGCGGAGGACCGTGGTGAATGGTGCAGCAGCTCTCCCTGCAAGCTCACCCCCCGTCTGCTGCTGTCGGCCTTGGTGTTGCTGTCATGGATGCTTCTGCTAATGCGGCCGTTGCTCCCCGTGCTGCACGCACCTGAACCGCTGACCCCACCTTTGACCGTGCTTCTATCCCTCCTGTCCGCCGTGTACCCAGGTGTTGCCATCCCGCCACCGGGAGACCAGTGCACACCGCTATGCTGCTGCTGCTGCTGGTGGTGGTGTATGCGCTGGTGTGAATACAGCTGTTGCTGCTGCTGATGCGACCGCTGGTGGCAGTGGGGCACGGGCACAATGGCACCCCCCAACCTGCGCACCCCGCCTTGCGCCCTGGGGCTCCACCTCTGCACAGGGTGCGCATAGCCGGGGGAGGACGCTGAGGAGGGGAAGAGAGAGGGGGAGGCAGGAGAACAAGGCGACCGCAAACTCTGGGTGGAGCGGGAGGGGGAGGGGCGTAAGGAGAAGCGGGAAACGGAGAAGGGCGAGGAGATGGAGGGAGAAGGAGAGGAGGAGGCGGGGGGCGGCTTGTGCTGCTGGCGGTCCGATGTGCCTGCATGGTTGGTGCTGCAGCTGCCCTCTGTGCTCCACCAGCGGCCATGCATGAACGCAAAGAAGGCTGCAAACGCATCGGCGTTCTCATGCATGGTGGCAACAAAGGGCGCTGCCACGTCACACATGCCCTGGCAGTACCCCACCTCGGGATCCACGAGGGTGTATGCTTCCAGCAGTGCCACCACCCGTGCCACGTGCATCTGCTGCGCTGCTGTGTGGCTCACCAGCCCCTCCTCCTCCCCTAACTGCACCTCGTCCAGTGCTGCCTCTAACGCCTCCCCCTCCACCACACTGCACCACTCTGCACTGCTCAACTTTTCACTGCTTCGGCTGATGTCACTACCGCCACTGCTGCTGCTGCCACTGCTGCTGTCACTGCTCATCCTGATGATACTACTACCACTACCACCACTGCTACGACTTCTCTCAAAAGCTCCAGCATCATTGCCCGCCGCAGAGTTAACCCCTCCCCCTGCCCCTCTCGCCGGGCCATCGCCCCGTCCATCCTGCGCCCATGCCACCCCAACCTCTCCACCACTCCCCCCCCCCTCGTCCCCATCGCCAGTGCCCCAAAAGGGGTCCCACTGCGCGCTGAGGCGCATGGCATCAAGGCGGATGGCACGCTGCCATGCACCGAAGTCAGAGAGCAGAGCCACGGGGTCGTGCAGCACCAGAGGCGCTGCCGCCGGGGAGGAGGCTAGCATGGGGGAGGGGGAAGGGAGGGGAGAGGCGATCCTGGTGGCAGTGGTGGCTCTTGTGGTCGCAGCGGGCGCAGGAGGCGGGGTACTTGGGCTGCCAGTCAAGTTGTGACCTCCGTTGCTGCTATCCGCGTTGCTGGCGGTGCTGCTAGAAGCACAGTTCCCATTCCCATCGCCGCCTGAAGGGTCGCTGCTTGTGCTGCTGCGTTGGTTGCCAAGGCTGTTGATACCTGGCATGTGAGGGCGCGGTCGTGCGGCAGGGCTATGTGCATGTGACTCATGTACCGGAGCATGTGAGGGGGCATGTGAGGCAGCCTGGGCGGCAGTGAGAGCGGGGCGAGCGGCAGAGACAGTTGTCCAGACATGGGAGACGACAGCGGTGACAGCAGCGCGGTCGGATGGCGGGTGGCGGTGCAGGTTGGCGAGAATGCGCGCGCACATGCGCAGCTTGTGGTAGCACGCCCCGTGCGCCCTGCGCTGCTGTGCCCGCTCCTCCTCCGTGCTGCTCAACGCATGGCTGCGCGGGGCACAGGGAGAACACGTACACGACGTATAGGCCACAGAAGCTTATGACAGCAGCACACGGACCCAGTGAGAGTGAGAAACAGAACAAGACGGGTGCTGGATTACAATGAATTCCAGTCTAGAAGAAAGTCATGGTGGATGTTTCACATCTCACACATGGTCATGCAGTCAGTCATGCATGCACGCATCATGCCATCAACATGCCATCACCGGCCTTACATGCCCAGCAACAGCGGCCACACGTCGTTGCGCATGTATAGCGGGCACCCCTGCAGCAGCAACAGGACAAGCGAGGGGAGACACGGCGAGAAGCGTAAGGCACGAGAGAGAATCACCAGGACATGGCAGGGCTGGAACGCAACGAGAACAAGTCACGATGGCCAACGATAGACGCAACGAGCTTCAGTGCACCAATACCACATTTACTCACCCTTTGCCGTACTCTCCGCAGCAACGCGCGACCCCCATCCTCCAGCCGCGCGGGTAACCGCCACGCTCCCTCCGCTTCCAGCTGCTCCGCCCGCTCCGCGCAACCCGCTCCCCGCTCTACTCTCGCCGCGCTATTCCTCTTCTCCCCCATTTCTGCCCTCACCGCCCCGCAGTCCCGCCCGTCGTCACCCGCCTTCTCCGCGCGTGCGGCACGGCGGCGGAGTCCTCCGCAAGACACGGCGCGGCGGGCAGCAGGCGGTAGCCGTCAGTCGGGGCGGGCCTAGCGGCAGATGCGGCGGGTCTAGCGCGCGGCGCAGCACAGACGGCGAGGGCCGGTATGCGGCGGTAGGCGGGTTGCGACGAAGGATGGGGAGTAATTTGCGGAAGCTCTTTCCGCGGCGAAGGCGGAAGCCATCGCACCAAAGGAATACTTGCGGAATCTTGCGCGGAACGCGCGGGAACTTGCGCGGGCGACGTCTGGGGTGACTGCGGCAGGGAAGCGGGAGGCGGGAGCCAGCCGGGGGATCTGCCGTTACCGGAGTCATTCCGCCCGCGGGGATTGCTCATTGCAGGGCTGCCGACTCGACTGTGCTCCAATCGAGGGTTCCGCGAGTGCGACGGAGGGTCGGCGACGTTCCACGGCGGCGCTGCGATATCAGCATCGGGTTGTGAACATTGACAGCGCAGTCAGTGGACGGGTGTCGCAGAATGGGACGAGTGGCACAGGCAACAGTAAGGCGGAAAGGAAAGGAAGAACGGGAGGGAGTGGGTTGGGAATGGGTGACAGAGGGATAAGAGGGAGCAGGGATGGGGGGGATGGGGAACAGCGGGGAATGTTGATAAGTGAATATAAAGAGGTGGTGTGTGTGTGCGGACTCAGGAGCAAGGAGTGACTGAGGAATTGTAGGAGTACCTGAACGAGGAGAGCTGGTAGGCAACGACTGCCATGCATCCCGGCATTCGCTCCGCGAGTGCAGCCAAGGGTTGGACTGCGACGGTCCCGCAACCATTCTAATGGGGAAACTACAAAGATGGCGCGATGAGACTGTATCGAAAGGAGCTGCGTGTTAGTCGTAGACGTCATGGACATTCGAATCTGCAGAGGTCACCTGGTACTAGAGAGTTTCTGGTTTCGCGATTGCAAACGCGCATGGGTCCTCAGAATGAGGTTCCTAGGATTTGCATTATTAGGCAGCTGCACTTATGCGCCACAAGAACATGTTGGTGGTGCCATCTTATAGTTGTCGCTGAACTATCAACAGTTTGGATTGAGAAGTTGATAACCTAGGGTGGTGTCTGCAATTTTGCGGAGAGCATCCTCACTGGAATCAAATGGACATGTAGTGATGGAACTTGGGGAGGCACAGCAGCTGTGGCACCTCCCCGCCAACCCAAACCAAGCCCATTGAACTTCGACCGACTGTACATTGTACAGTACAGTACAGTTTCTCGAGAATGCCAACAATCCCATGCGCAGGGCACCCCGCCACCGGCACATACACTAGCCAACGAAAGTGGTGAACACGTTACTGGTGGCAGGAAGGAGGAAGGCAGAACTCCCGCAGGGATGCAAGTTGGGGATTCCCCGCGGGAAAACGGAAGTGTGCCTTGTTCACACAGCAACGGTATTCTCTGGTGCTTTACGGTGCTAGTGAGCAGCTGAACATTCCGGGTACTGAACCGTACAGTACCGAGTGATCAGGCGGGCAAACGGGGAAGACAATCCCCGAGGTGTGGGATGTGATGTGAGACCACAGCCCCCACTGCAAATCCGCGATTTTTTTTCCGAACCGTGTTCAACCCGATCGGACCTCCAAACATCCGACATCCTCCCGTGTTCCCCATCCACCAAATCTGCACATTCACAGAATGGCGAATCACTTCACCGTCGCCACACCTTTCGCAACTCACGTTGGCAATCAACGGGATCTCGGGAACTACAACAAGGGTTGGCGAAACCCAGTTTCCAACAACTGACGAAGAGCCGATAGTACAAGTTACCTGTGAGCTCGCCACTTCGCTAAACCATGACCCCAGCTTCTCCTTCTGGCAGATGATGATTTTACAACTCCTCCATCGCTCCTCTCTACCGCTGCTTGTGTCAGACCCAAACAGATATGTTCGGTCCCCATCTCTTCTGCCAGCCGCATACCAACCATTATAGCGGCTCAATTTTGCAGCACGCTTCGGGAAACGGATCGCGGCGGTTGAATGAGCGGAAGTATTATAGTACACGTCACTAGATTTCTGAATCTTGTGTTTCCATCCAACCGTGTTTTTTTCCGGGCCGTTGAAACAGCCTAGTGTCCCAAATTGAGGACATTTTGTTCCACATTAGGCGGTCCAATCAGACGCTAGGGTACATTTGGCGGTCCAATTAGACGCTAGGGTACATTTGGCGGTCCAATCAGAGCTGGGTTCATCTTGTCGGCGATTTTTTCTGATCCATCCACCATTCGCCACGGTGGCACGCTTGGGACCACCCTAGAAGCCAGCAAGGCGGCTTTCTAACCGTTGATTGTTTTCACCGAGTAGCTCATTCCAACGGTCCGTAGTCAGACATTCCACGCATCTTCAGGCTCACGTCATATTCCGACTCTTCTTCTTGGAATTTCAGTTTATTTCTGCAGCCTTCTAGGCATTTTGCTACTGAGCTTGGCTTCCAATCGCTCTACCAGTTCGAATCATCACCATCGTCTCACGTCGACACCATTCAGACTGCCCTGGATCGTATGGTCGGCTCGCGGACCGTCGGAGTTTCTGCAACGTAGCGAGTCAACTTCGCTTGTCGTCGATTTTACATCAGGTACAACGACCATCCTTATCACGTTCTTGTATCAGCGACCTGATTCCGTTAATGTACGCGACCTTCAGTTTATTTGGACTCCGATTCTGACAATGGTGCTCGTTGTTCTATCATGCGCAGGACGCCATGGTAAGCATCGGATCGTCGTGGATCCGCATCTCTTCATCAACCTCTTCGCGACGCTGGCTACGACGCACCTAAAGCGACATCGATCTCCCCGACTTGTGACGGTGAAGGTCGAATGTATCACCTTTCACCACCACTCACCACAGAGCCTCCTCCCCCGGTTAAGGTTTGGTAAAGGTTCGGTACAGGTGTGGTTAAGGTTTTTTTTTTTTTTTTGGTACAGGTTGGTATTGGCTCTGTGGTGGGGCAGCACATGTTTCTTCACTTCGCAAAGTCGTTATTTCCGTTGCATGCGTTCTTCACTTCCGTATACTGACTACATGTTTTTTCTACACTCGCAGGTTTTAATGGAGGTTGCGAGGCGTTTCGAAGATCAAAGAGGATCAACATCCTTTGGCGTCGTTTCATGCTTATGGCGGACAACGGAGGAGAAGCTCCACGGCTGGTGAAGGTGAAGGTTAAGAGTATCAATCTCACCCTTCACACTCCTGAGCCACCCCCCTGGTTGAGGTTAGGTACAGGTTCAGGTCTGGTAAAGGTCCCCTAAAGGTTTTTTGGTTGGTATTTGGCTCGCCTTTTCCACGCTTTTTTTCGTTTTGCTTTATTTGCTGTCCGACCTTTACTAATTCTCGTTTATTTTTTTACTTGCAGGTGTTATCCGAGGGTGTGCCTCGTTTTTCGGAGGAGCAACGTCTTTTGGCGTCCTGCCATGCTTCGTGGCGGACAACAGTGGAGCATCTCCACGACTGGTGAAGGTTGAACGTATCAACCACTCGTCCACTCGTTCTTCACGCCACAGAGCCCCCCCCCCTTGGTTCAGGTTCAGGTTTGGTTAAGGTGGAGGTTGGTAAAGGTGTTGGTAAAGGTCCCCCTAAGGTTTTTTGGTTGGTATAGGTAGGCTCTGTGACACTTGCACCATTGCAGCACCGTCCGTTTCTGCATGCTTGGTTTACTGCTCATTACTAACCTAGTTCCTTTGATATCCTTGCAGGTTCTATTCAAGCCACACTCAAGATGGTGTCAGAGGAGCACCTCACGGCTAAGCTCCAACTTTCAAGCTTTGCAAGATAAGTTTCAATCTTGAGCCTTTTCCCGTGCTTTCTCGCTCGAATGCTATTCCACTGGTAACTCCACGCTTGCTGATTCCTTTTTTTGTCAAGTTGTGCTTCAACTCTACAGTCACTGACTTGTTTCATATTGCCTCATGGCAGGTTCTCCAAGCGCCATTTACACACCATGGACCCTCAAGACCTTGCGCACGGCTGCACTCCAGCAAGCCCAAGATCCATGGGAGCACCATGGCATGCTGAAGCGCCTCAACGCTCAAGCACCGCTCCACACTCCAAGCTCCTCAACCTCAGCTAAGTTTCAGCCCCTACCTTTGAGCGCCTTTTCTTATGCACATGGTTCTTTGTGTTTGTGATTTGCTTTGATGCATGCTGTTTTCTTGCCTTCTCTTTTTGATCATGGACTAATCTTTGTCTTTCTTCTGCCTGCAGGTGCCTTCATGGGCCGCAAGTCTCAGTGGGTGGCAAGCCATGGCCTGCAGAAGCGTCTCAAAGCTCAAGCACCGCTCCACACTCCAAGATCCTAACCCACAGATAAGTTTCAGCCCCTACCTTTGAGCTCTCTTTTTCATCCCCAGGCTTTGCTTTGTTTGTTGATTTGCTTTGGTGCATGCTGTTTTTTTGCCTTCTCTTTTTTATCATGGACTAATGTTATCTTTCTTCTGTCTGCAGGTGCCTTCATGGTCGGCAAGTCTCAGCGGGTGGCATGGCAAGCCATGTGGCCAGTGCACGAGAGGGGTTGAAGCCTTGAGCATTGGCTGGGGACTCGATTCCGGGCCAAACCGGACTGGTTCTGTCCCCTCCCGCCCCCACCAAGTGACAAAACTGTCTGGCCAGCAGTGATGTCATTTGGTGGAGGTGGGGGTGGGCAGAGCCAGTCCCTAGTAGGGCACCTGCACGTCTTGGTCCTGGCAATGCTCAAGGCTCAGCCTTCCTCTCTGCCTGTGCAGTGCACTGCCAGTCCATGCCGGGGTGGGCATGGATGGCATGCTGCCATGGAGTAGCTGTGGACCTGTGGTTGATAGGAATAGACAGAATTACATTGGTTGAGTGTACCTCTGAATATTAATTCATTTTTATAAGAATGTACTCTATAGGATACTAATACTCTGGATAGGGCGTAGAATTTCAGTCTGTTCAAGTAATTCTAAAATACGTAACTCTACAAACATATACAGTCCTGTGTTCTGTAGCCTAAATCATAAATAAATGCTGACTTGCAATCCAGATTCTCAATCATCACATCATGTAATATTGCTGGAAAACCTCCAGAACTTTCTAGCAAATATTACATCGGAAAAGCACGAAATCGCATGTCACCGGATTGAAGTGCAGTGCACTCTTTCGAAGCTATCCCTTCCCTTGTACCTATCTGGTCTACACTCCGCCCAAGTAACGAACTGGTGAACTATCAGGCAGACCAGACCTCATCCCAACAGCTTTGAAGTTGGTGCGATTCATGTCCGTCGCATCGCATCTCTTAGAGCAGAAATCCTCATCCCATTCCCATTCCGAGGCGAGAACGTGAGTGAAAGCGGAGGTGAGCTCGGCTCGCGTCGCGTCGCGTCCGAAGCCGAAGCGTCGGAAATGTCGATGCTGCTGTCCCATCGCACCGCAGACCGCAGCGATGCCATGGCGAGTTCGGGCCGGTCGGGTGGTACAACCAGCCATTGCCTGCTGCTTCGCGGGAGCAGCATCTGCGCGTTACAGGCGAGAGAATCCGCTTCTGCGACCCCGATCGGTACAATCGGAGCCGTTCATCCATTCCTCGCAGCGCGGCCAGCGTTTTCAACGAAGGACTACTCTATCGTCGTCGCGGGATAGTGAAGGGAGAGGGTGATCGGAAGCGTCGCCGTGTGTATCGCTGCCCTGATTTCTTCGTGTTCACGGTTCCGCTCTTGACGCGCGTTACGCAGTTTTCGCATTGTACTGCTCGACAAACTGATAGCGGGGTGGAGCATCGAGTCTAAGCGTCCGCTTTGTCTGAGTGTCGATCTGCATCTTAATCTCTCTTGGCATCCAACGGTCATCCTCCGGACAACCTTGGTTCCAACGGTGGTTGTTCCAGCGGCCTTAGTTCTCTAAGTTTCCGCTGCGCGTTGGAAACGCGTAGCGGCACATAGCAGCAGACTGCAGGAGGGAGCAAGAGAGAGCACCAGGCAGCAGCAGAGAGCAGCCGCATCCTCGCCCTCCCCCGTGCCTCGCCGCTGTTCCCTTCGCGCCGTTCCGCGCCGTTTACTCCGCGCCGATTCTTTCAGCACCGATTCTTTCCGCGCGCCTCCCCCTCGTCTGTTCCCTCCAACGACGCGCGCGATGGTGCGACGACGCGAGGGCGTCGCTGCTGTCGCACGAGAGCGAGCCGGAGTGCGCGCAAGTGGCGGGCATGGCGAGCGACCTCGTCGTCACCATCGGCCAGTGCGCCTTTCACGTGCACCAGTACCCGCTGTACGCGTTACTAGCCTTCCACGTGCACCAGTACCCGCTGTACGCGTTACTACGTGATCCCTTTCACGCCTTGCTACGCGTGCTCATGCGCTCTAGGATATGTAACCAGGCTTCACGGTTCAGACGCTCCAGACTCCCCCTCTGTCCCCTCCTTTCTCCTCCGTTCCCCTCTCTTCCTGTCGCTTCCCGTCCCTTCCCGTCCTTTCCCTTCCCGTCCCTTCCTTCCTCCTCCTCCCTCTCCCTTTCCTTCCCGCTCTTCCCCCCCTCAGCTTCTCCCTGTCGACGGTGATAGCAAGCGCGGCAGCAGCAGCGGGCGGCCGCCCCTGCCGCCTCTCGCCCCACTCACTGCTGCTCGTGCGCTCTGCAGGTAATGCGTGGGGATAGTGGGGGGGTGCGGCAGTAGGGGGTTGGGGCAGCGGGGGAGGGGTTGTGAAGGGATGCAGGGTGGGGTCTAATCGGGGAGCGCAGGAGATGACCTTCCTCCTTGCTTTTCATCTGCCGCTGAACAGTGCTGCATCTTAGTCCTTGCAAATCATGCTCTTTTTTCTCGCCCCCCCGCCTTCCTCCCCCCCTGCTTTTCACCCGACCCCCTCTTCTCACCCCCTCCTTCCCCCACTCCTTTCAACCCCCACCCCCCCCCCCCCCCCCCACCACCACCCTCTTCTTCTCACCCCGCTCTTTTCATTCAACCCCCTCCCCCCCTCCCACCCTCGCCTACCCTCCCCTGGCAGCATCGCTGGTGGAGATGAACGCGTGTGGGCCCTGCAGCACTTCCTGCAGCACTGGCCGCCCTGCCTGCACGTGCTCTCATCGTATGTCGTTGATCTGGGGGGGGGGGGAGGCCGGGACGGGACGGGACGGGATGGGATGGGATGGGATGAGGATGGGGTGGGATGGGATGGGATGGGATGGGATGGGATGGGATGGGATGGGATGGGATGGGATGGGATGGGATGGGATGGGATGGGATGGGATGGGATGGGATGGGATGGGATGGGATGGGATGAGGATGGGGTGGGATGGGATGGGGTGGGATGGGATGGGGTGGGATGGGATGGGATGGGGTGGGATGGGATGGGATGGGGTGGCATGACGTGCTCCCCTTTTCACCATTGCCTTCACTCGCATCCCCCATCCACTGCCTGCCACCCACCGTCTCCCATCTGCCACCATGGTAATCTCCCATCCGTCTCCCTCCCACTCCCCTCTCGCACTCTCTCCTAACCCACCGTTGTGTGCTATTCCGCATTGGCCTTCCGTCCCAACCCTCTGTCTCTCACTCTCCCATTTCTCTCTAGTCCCCTTCCTAACTACCCCCTCCAACCCCCCCCTCCCGTTTCTCCCTTCCCCCCATCAGTTGCTGCTGACAAGTGAGGGGATGGAGTTCACTGCATCTGGCCTCCCAGCGCCTGCAGCGCCTCCTGCAGCACTGCCCGCACGTGCTCTCATCGTTTGTCGCTGACGGGAGGGGGATGGAGGGGGCGAGAGGGGGGTTATGGGATGGGATGGGATGGGATGGGATGGGATGGGATGGGATGGGATGGGATGGGATGGGATGGGATGGGATGGGATGGGGGGGAATTGAATGGGATGGGATATGGAGTGGTGATGTGCCGTGGAATGTAATGCTCCTCTATCCGTTTCAGATGCACCCTGCTGCGTTTCCCCCCACCCTGCTGCGATTCCCCCCACCCAGCTGCGTTCCCCCCACCACCACCGGCACATAAACTAGCGGAGTTCCCCCGCCGACCTGGGTGGGGTCTGCTGCGCGACCTTGATTATTGGGAGAAAAGGGGGAGAACTTGTCCAATGCACCAAGCGCTGACTTCCTGCTCCGCCATCTCCCCCTATCGGAAGTGGCGGTACCGCTTCACAGTTGGCATGACTCATCCCAGAAGGGACGGTTGAGGTCCACCTATCAGTGAGAATCCCACGATATCAGACGGCAGAACGTGTCTTGGCCGGAAACTGGGCATACCAAACCGCCTTGATTGAGTGCGGAAGGACGCGTACAAATAATAGCAGGGTAGCCGTGCGAATGTGACGCAAGCCGTTGTCCCTGGCAAGCGACGCAACCTCGTCAATCTTCGCCTGGCCAATTCCTAGATTATTAACGATCTCTCACCCCGTCATGGCCTGTGGCGAGACCACCCACAAATTGGCGGCCATGGCAGAAGTGACTGGGGGTTTGCAGCTACAGGTGATTTAGGGACTTGGTATAACCAGGTTCTGATACCTGAACCATGTTAGGATTTGACCATACAACTGGTTGCTGTAAGCTTCACACACCTAGCCCAACCATCAGTATTAAAGCAAAACACTATACCTATAGCTACCCACCCTACATCAGACAGCACAAATTAGGCAACAGACAACTCAAACCACAGCATGGTAATCTGGAGTCAGTCGACCCACTCATTACTACCTGCTGCCTGCCTGTCTGGCCCACCACGCCTTCAGTAGCGCGGCAGGCCTCCACTAGAAAGCAAAATGGTTGTACCCTTCTTCTTGCCCTTCTTTCCTTTCCCCTTCCCCACACCTGAAGAACCGCTCCCATCATCACCAGGCACCTGAGCCCCCTCTCCCCCACTCCCCGCACCCCTGACCCCCCCTGCAGCAGCTACCCCCCCAGAGCCCCATGCACCACTACCAGCAGCAGCACCAGCAGCGCCTGCTCTGGAGAATTCCGGGCGGCTGGACCACACCGAGTGGGCAGGCGTGGCAGCAGTGGAAACAGGTGAAGGGCCAGAGGCAGGAGGTGGAGTGGTTGCAGCAGAGAGGGAGGGGCCGGAGAGTGCCACGGAGCCCAGCCCAGCAGCATAGCCCAGCTCTGTGACCTTTGAGAAGGCCATGGGGGGGGCATGGCTTGCACTCACAGATGCCCCTTCACCTTCTGCACTGCCTGCTGCTACATCCCCGCCACCAGTCTCGGAATCCTCCGCAGCAGCAGTGGCACTTGCGGAGCCTGCAGCGACAGCCTGAGCGAGAGGGACAAAGTCCATGGGTGCTGGTACACGCTGGCGCTCAAAGAACCTGCCGTCCTCTGCCGCTGCCGCCACTGCCACTGCCTCCCTGTGCTGTGCCTTCACACGCTCCCTCTCCTCCTGGCACACACAGCGGTGGGCAAGACACATGTGACGATGGAGGAGGGCGGTGATAGGGAATGAGAGAGTAAGGCAACATCACAATATTGAGTAATGAATAAGACGTGGAGGAATGAAAATGGGTGAACTAGAGCAACCTTTGCGCAGCAACCTTATCCTGGCCCCCTGCCCACTGCCCACCCTGCCCACCTGTCGCAGCTGCCGTTGGCGCTGCAGCCTGCGGTGGTTGATCTCAGGCAGGAAGGGCGCGAGGGAGGGCGTGGGCAGCAGTGGGGCGAGGTCCACCTCGGCCAGCACAAAGGCAGCGGTGAGTGGCAGGTGGTCCACCACTCGCAGCCGCCGCCGCACTGCCTCTGACTGCCTCATCGGCTCCAGCTGCACCACTCGTGCTGTTACGCTGTGGGGCGCAGGGCGAGAGGGGGGTTTTGGGGCCGCAGGTGCGTTGACAAGAGGTGGGATTAATGTCACGAGTCGCAACTTGAGCGTGGTGACGAGTTTGAACTCGGAACAGTGTGAGACAGCAGAAGGAGGGTGAGAGGCAGAGCCCGGGAGAGGAGAGAATGGGGTGTGGGAGGGGTGGGGAGTAGGACAAAGAAACCAGGCTAGCTCGAAGACAAGGGGTGAGAAGGAGCAGAGTGAAGGAGAGAAGGTAAAGGTGAAAGAGGATCCGCGGAACGGGGGCATGCCTGAGCGGGAGACGTTCAACAGAGCCATAGTGTTGCAGCAAGCATTTGAAGTTGAGTGGGTGCAGCACCACACACGGGCCCTCCTGTGCCTGGTAGAACACGTGCCACCCACACACCTCCTCGCCCTCACCCACACGCTCCCCCGCCTTGCCCTTCCCACCTCGCCCCGCCCCACTCTTGCCTTCACCCCCCCTGATGTCCCCTTCACGCTTCTCCACTCTCCCGGCCTTGTCAGTTATGACTACCTCCCCACCGCCACCACTTCCTCCCATGCCTTCTCCCATCCTGCTCTCGCGTCGTTCCCCACCTGACACCCCACCCTGGCTCTTCTCTGCTGCTACCTCACCATCCCCAGCAGCATCTGCAGCAGTTTCAGCAGACGAGACAGCTCCCTCACTATCCCCAGCAGCGTCCCTCTTTCCAGCGCCGTCCTTCCCCGTTTGCTCGTCCTCGCCCTCGTCATCGGAAAAGGCGCTCTCATACACCCACCCAGCACGCGCCTCCAGCTCATGCATCGCCCTGTCCACCTCCTCTGCCACATCCTCGCCCCCAGCGCCCACACTCCCCTCTTCCTCCGCCTCCTCAATACACGCCTCCTCTTCCTCTGCATCTCCCGCCCCATCCCCTTCCTCTTCCCCAGCAACCTCTAGCTCACCGGCTTGCTCACGGCCCTTTTTCGCCTCGCTTTTCTTGCCACCTGCACCCTCTTCCTGCTCCAACTGCAATGCACCCATGCGCTTGCTCACAGCAGTGGCGCTCGTGGTGGGGGGCGAGGGGAACGAGGGGGAGGAGCGTGCATGAGGGGAGGTGATGCGGTGGGAAGTGGGGGAGGAGGCGGAAAGAGAGGCGGAGGGGGAGGCGGAGGGCGAGAGGGGCGGTGGGGGGAGGTCGATGGGGAGCTTGAGCAGCGACAGCAGGCCCTTCTGGTGCGATGGGCTGGCTGCTACAAACGCCATCTGCCTGTGCTCCACCCATGCCTGTACTTGCAAAGGGGGGGGGGGGGAGAGAGAGAGAGAGAGAGAGAGAGAGAGAGAGAGAGAGAGAGAGAGAGAGAGAGAGAGAGAGGCAAGATAGAGGGAGGGAGAGGGAGAAAGGCGGGTGGGGGAGAAAGAAATTCAGGAAGAGACAAAGAAGGTCATGCAAGTACAAACTAGTGAACCACTGCAATTTCCTCTCCTACTCTGTTTGCCGCTGCCACACCACCCAATCCCTCCCTTCCCGCACACCCTCCCTCTCACCTGCTGCCGGTCCAGCAGCTGGTTAACAGCATCCATGACGTAGGGCAGCTGCTCCAGCTCCTCCCCGCCGCTCTCATTCACCTCCTCCACGCGCTGCAGCAGCGCTCGCACCGCCGCGTGCGTGACAGCAGCGGCGCCCGAGTCGGAGGTGAGCGTGAGCTTGGAGAAGGCGTGGCAGCGCCCGCTGGATGAGAAGGGCAGCGCTGCCAGGGAGAAGTGCTCCCGGTGGTGCCGGTGCATTTCGAATGGCACCACGCAGGTCTGGTGGAGGGAGGGGACGGGGGGGCGGTGGCAGGATGGGAGGAGGAGATGAATATGGGAGAGGGCAGTGGAGGAGGCAGTGGGGGCGATGGGCGCGGACAGGTGTGGGCAATTTGCGGGAAGAGGGTCGGGAGGGAGGGAGAAAGGGAGGGAGGGAGAAAGGGAGGGAGGTAGGGAGGGAGAAAGCGCGGGAGGGAGGGAGGGAGAAAAGGAGGAAGGGAGGAGGCGAGCGGGGAGGCACCTTGGAGCGCATGAGAGCAACAAATCGCAGCATGTGGCCAACGCGGGGAGCGGGTGCGGAGCGGATGGTGACAGTGCGCAGCTCGTGGGACCCAATGCTGGCGAAGCACAGCGGGCACCGCTTGAACCGCTGCACCACTGACGACGCCAGCCCTGCACTCGGCAGCACTACCGGCGCCGCCGCTGCCGCCGCTGCTGCCCCTCTCCCACTGCCACCTCGCCCGCCCCCCCTCCCTGCTTGCCCCACGCCTCCTCTCCCTGCGCCTCTTCCGCCCGAACCCGTCCCTCCCCCTGCTGTCGCCGCTGCATTGCTCGCGAGAGGAGCAGCGCCTGAGAGCGCGCACAGGGCCCTCTGCGGGCTGCCCCCTGCAGCAACTGCGCGCGCCACTGCAACGGCGGCAGCAGCGCTGGCAGTGGTGGCGGGGCGCAGGGGGGGCGCGTCTGGGTGGCGCGCGTCAGGCATGGCGAAGTGGCGCAGGATGCAGGGGTGGCAGAACACATGGCCACACGCCGTGATCTGATGGCCGGGCGCTCACGGGCAGGGAAGGGAGGGATTTCGGGGGAGTGGGGACACAGGCAAAAGGGGTCGGGAAGGAGAGCAGGGGTGGCAAGACAGGAATATGGAGTGGAGAGTGAAAGGAGTAGAGACAGGAAGGCGTTGAGTAGGTGACGCATGTGGCATAGGTTTAGATCATGTCAAGGGAGCGGAAGGAGGTGGACGGGAGGGGGATGCATGGGGGAAGCAATGGGTCGGATGATAAGAGTTACTAACCAACAAGCACCACTCCCCGCACATACCCCCACCCACCTGCCCCCATTCCAAACCCCATTCTGAAAGCAGTCAAACAAGCTTCCAGTTGGCAGCCCAGGGCGCACACGAACGAACCTGAGGGCAGAGCGGAGGGCTGTCCAGGCAAATCGGACACGACAACGTGCCACTGGCGCCGCCCGCTATGCTATCCCCTCCTGCTCCCCGCTCCACCCCTCCCCCTTCTCCCCCCTCCTCCCCCCCATCCCCATCCTTGACCTCCGCGCGCTGCCCCCCAGCCGCGTCCCCGTGCGCATTCCCCCCATCCGTGCCCGCGCCCGCGTGCCAGTCAGTGGTCTCGGTGATCTCGACGGCCGCCACGTCAGCCCAGTCGGGCATGCGATCCGCGTCCGCCAGATCGCTGTTGTAGACGCCACAGTCCGACACCAGGAAACGACAGTTAGCCTTATGGGGGGGACGGACGGAGGGGGGGAAGAGGAAGGGGAGGAGAGGGGAGGAGGGGAGGGGGGGGGAAAGGGGAGGAAGAGGGGAGAGGGGCGAGAGGAGGAGGACGAGGGACGATGGAGAGGGTGAAAAGGATGAATGTGCTGCGACTTGCAAGGGAGATACCGGGGCAGGCAAGGGCATTCATGCAGAGATGTGAGCAGGTCGCCCCGTTGCCAGGACTCGCTCACGCACACGCGCACCCACTCACCTGCAGAAACAACTCTCGATTGAACGACCGATGCGCTCGACTCCGCTGCTGCTGTTGCTGCTGCCGCCACCGCCCCGACCCCCCTCCGCCTCCCGCTCCCGCGGAACCGCCCAGCGCTGCGCCGACGCCTCGCGCGGTGGTGGGCTGGTACGGCTGGAAGTTGAGCAGGTGATTCGCCTGTGTCTGCACGCCCCTGCGCCCACGCCCCCCACTCCCTGCTGCTGTCGCTGGCCCTGCTGCTGCTGCTGCTGCTGCTGCTGCTGCTGCTTCGTCTGCCCCTGCTGCAACCGCTGAACTGCCGCTCCCTCTCCCGCTACTTCCTCCGCCTCCTCCTCCGACTCCTCCGCCAGCTCCGCCAACAGCAGCAGCAGCAGCAGTGCGAGAAGCGACAGCAGCTCCTCGGCCTTCCTCGCCTGACGTTCCCTCCACGACCGTTTCACTCACGCTCATTCGGGACCTCCCCGCGCCTCCTCTCCCACCACCTCCTTCTCCCCCTCGGCTTCCGCCGTAAGACCCTCTGCCGCCTCTCCCCCGCCCGCTCCGCCCCATATCCCCCCCTCTCGCCCCTCCGCCTGCGTCTGCAAAGCTGGCGCTCAGCCCGCCCCTGCCCCTCCCCCGACCGCCCCTTCCGCCCGACCTGACGTGCTCCCAGCCCGCTTCGTGAGGCTGTTCCGCGGACCGTCCTTGCTGCGGCTGCTGCTGCCGCTGACCAGGAAGCGCTGAAGCGGAAAGAACAGGGGTCGTGAATACGGAGAACGAAGATGAGGATATGCGGAACGGGAGGAGGCGAGAATGGACGGAAATGAAGAGGCAGGAAGACAGAATCCAAGGAAAAAACACCTGACAGAATCCACAAAAACAAGTGACGGACCTGCGGGTTGAAAGATTGGCACGAATTCGCTGGCCATTGGATTGAGCGCATTTGAAATCGCAGAGCTGCTGCTGCTGCTGCTGCTGCTGCCGTTATCCCCGGTATCATCTGACTCGGCATTGCCGGTGCCTCTCGACGCGTTCTCTTTCAAGATGTCACCACTGCTGCTGCTACAGCGGGCTGCGCTATCAAGCGCGATAACGCCGGTTCCCGTGGACGATTCACCCCCTGCGACACCTGGCACCTCCCCGCCTTCCCTGCCTCCGCTTGCGCTCGCAGATCCACTCCCACGGGAACCTCTCGGGCCTCCGGTTTCGACCGATAGAGGGTCAGAGCCGTGAGATTCGGCCGCACCGCCACTGCTAGAAGGAGAAGCAGCAGTGGAAGCGGTGGCTGGAGGCGGAGGGAGGCGGGATCCATGGCTGGTCACTGCAGTGGGAGCAAGCAAAGGTGGGAGACTAGCTGGGGGGGAATCCTGGTTAGGCGATTTATACATGAACAGGAGGGGAGCAAGGCAGGAGAGTGCGCGGCTGCAGAGAGCCGGTAGAGAGAGTGTGAGGGGATAGCAAGAAACGGGATACCCTAAATCAAGATCTCGCCTTGAAATGAAGGATGAGATAAGAGGGACAGATGCGAATGAATTCTTTCTCCGACGACTCTGCGTGAGGGTTTTTGGTGTCAACAAAATTGCCGAAAAATATTCGATGACCTTGGTTGCGCGAGAATATGAAAGCAACAACAGCTCCCAATAGAACAAATCTTGACACGTGATCTGACATGAAGTTGGACACTAGCGCGGATCACTATTTACCAACTTTTACGGAAACTTTAATGTGAAAGATGACTTTTGCAATAAGGGTCTAGGTATGTATTCGTAGTCCGCAAGCAAATCAGCGCAAAGCGCAGGCATGTCAGAGAGTGCTCCAGTGGCGTGTGCGATGTTTAGTCGATAAATGTCGTCCCTCCGATGAGGCCAAATCACGCAATTGAACAGCTACGATCTTGCCTCAGAGTCAGATCTACCCATTTATGGTTACCCTCAGCAATGTCCAGGTTCTTCTGAGTCTTCGCATAACCACATCGCCACAAAAACATTGATTTCATCACGTCGCCCAATTCCCTTAGCCACACTCCCAAAGCCACTTTCCTGAGGAAAGGGGGAGCGAAAAATCAGGCGGCGTAAAGAAGGCGCCTGGCGATGAACAACAGAGGTTCCGCGACGCAGATCCGCGAAATCTCCCACATTCTCGTCGCCACGGTCGCTCATTTTCACGCACACGCATCTCCTCACACTTGCTGTGATCAAACTCCTCTCTCAGACATTCATTTGTTTTTCCATCCAAAACAAATCCCGAGACTTGAATCACGCAATCACGCACAACTGTCAGCAGTGTCTCTTGTCTGACCGCCGTTCTCTCCGCCCACCTCTCTACATACAGACTAAGGTCGAAGATTTTGCACTCTCTACCGTGTTGCAGGGTGAATCCTCCCTGTGGTGTTCTTTTGATTTCAGCGGAAGTTCCGGTATCAGTCATAGTGGATCGTGTATCCTACAACCGAACGAAAGAAGCTAGAGTCATTGCTCAAGTGTAAATCTTACGAGCCTTCTAGCTCGACGATTTCTGTTCTCCTGCCAATGGGACCCACGGACCCCAAGGCCGGTTTGCTGCAGCCGCTACTGACGGGGAGCAACGGAAGATTGGATCAGAGCCAGGCGAAGGCGACAGGCACGCACAAACCCAGTCACGACCATGAGCACGCGCGTGGTGTTTCGGACTGTCGACAAGGCGATCGCAATCACTGTGGCGATCTCAACCACCGCAGCCACCCGCACACGCACGAGCACGACGAGCACGAACACGCGGACGAGACGGCTCACGCGCATGGGCATTGCAGCGAGGTATATGAAGACACGGTCGTGGCGGTGGATGCCAAGGACGAGCCCGCACACGCCAGTGAGTGATTCGTGCTGCTAAATTCGGATCCGAGAATCTCTTTGTTCCAACATGTCGCGAAATTCGCGACTCGTCGATCTTCTTTCGCTCGAGACCTAATTCCGACGAGGCTCGTTGGTCCAATTTTTGTCGTGTGAGGTTCGTTCGTTGCTCCAATCCCTCCTTCATGTCCGTTCCCGCGCTTGTTCTGGCCCGTGGCAGGCTGCAGTGCGCGGTGCGGGTTCGCAGACGGCGTGGCGGTGGGCACGGTGGAGGACCAGGAGCGCGTGAATTTGCGGCAGCGCCTCGTGCTCGCCATCGCACTCTCGCTCGCCTTCATGGTCGTCGAAGTCGTCGGAGGTGACTCTTGCCCCGCGCTCTCGCCCCACGCTCGGCCCTCGCTCCCTGTTGTACCTTCCGAGCATTCTACTCCTCATCCCTGTCGGCTCTCCCCCTCATCAGCTGTCTTGCCCTCAGCCAACCGTCCCTGACTTCCTCCGCTGCCTCCCAATATTTTCCTCACTGCGCAAACCTTACCACTTTCTCTCTTAACACGTCTCTCTATAACCTCCATCCTTTTCCCTTCCCCCCTCCCCCCCCCCGTTTGTCCCCTCCCCGTTTGTCCCCTCCCCGTTCCCCCTTACCTGTTCGCCCCTCCACCTTCCCCATCCCCCATTCCCTTTTCCCCGTTCCCCATGGCGCGCGGGGCAGGGATCTGGTCCAACAGTCTCGCCGTGCTCACGGATGCGGCGCATCTCCTCTCCGACATCGCCGGTACGCCCTCCAGCCCTCCGCCTGCACGCCCACTTCCTTTTTGCTCAGCCCCTGCCCTCCCCCGCTCCCCTTCTGCCCATTCTCACCCGACGCCTTCCTTTCCTCCCTCTCTATTTCCCTTCTAACTCCCCGCGCCCTGGTTCCGCGTCGCTGCATTCCATTGTATCGTTCCCTCCTGCTTGCCGTGCCTTTTTTAACCCTCACATTTTCCTCTCCCCCTTTTCCTTCAAATTCCGTCCCCTCCCGCTCCTTCTATGTTCGTCAAGCCTTTCCTCCCTCTGCCCTCCCTTCATCCCCTATTCTCCGTCCACCCTCCCTCTCCCCACCCCCCCCTCTCGCCCGCCCGCCCACCAGGCTTCGTGTTGAGTCTGTTTGCGCTGTGGATGGTGGGGTGGGAGGCGACGCCGCGGCACACGTTTGGGTACCACCGCATGGAGATCCTGGGCGCGCTGGTGTCCATGCAGCTCATCTGGATGATCACCGGCATTCTGCTCTACGAGGCCGTCTCCAGGTGCGCGCCCGCGAGCGAACTTGCAACTGGGTGTGGGGAAGGCTGCAGTGGGGGGCAGTGATGGCTGTGATTGATTATGGGGGACGGGTTCAGCGAGTTGTGTGGATGAACCTCGCATCTTGCCTCTAAGTCGTATATGTTCTGAAGTCTCATGAACCTTCTCCTCCTCCTGCTGCTGCTTCTGCTGCTGCTGCTGCTGCTGCTGCTGCTGCTGTGCTCTGTGTGCTTGTGTGCATGCAGGCTGATATCGCAGACGGAGTCGGTGAATGGGAAGCTCATGTTCATCACATCGGCTTTCGGCGTGGGCGTGAACGTGCTCATGACCCTCATTCTCGGCCACCACCACCACGGCCACGACCACGGCCATGACCATGGGCACGACCATGGGCATGGGCACGAGCACGGGCATGGGCACGGCCACGGGCATGGTCACTCGCATGGGCATGGGCATAGTCATTCACATGAGCATGGGCATGAGCACGGGCACGTGCATGGGTGGAAGGAGCCAGGAGGGGATGGGCATGACCATAGTCATGGCCACGGACATGCACATGGGCATGCAGAGGCAGGAGACGCCATAGTGACCCTCCACCACAGCGCCAACCACTCTTCCCAGCATCAACATCAGCACTCCGCGTCTACTCCTGCAGGTGCAACGCATCGCTCTCTTCCACCATTCCCTACCTCGCTCCCTGGCATCTCTATCTCTGTCCCCCCTCTCTCTCTCCTTCCTTCCTTTTCCTCTCTCTGAAGACTGCACCGTGTGCCTTCCATGCATAATTTCTTGCCACACTTGACTTGACCCCTGCACCTTCGATGGCTCACTCCCTCTGAGACCACCTCCCCACCTCTTCCAATCTCGGCCACCCCCGTGCTCAGAAGCAGAACCGACGAGGGCGCGCAACATAAACCTGGAGGGGGCGTACCTGCACGTGCTGGGGGACCTGCTGCAGAGCATAGGAGTCATGGTGGGAGGCGCTGCCATCTGGTACAACCCGGAATGGTACGTGCTTCCTTCACAGTCGAAAACCATCTAAACCTGTTGGGACGGGCTGTCTGGCATTTGTTGCTGTGCCTTGACATCTGCTGCTAATGCTCGCTGCCTCGTTCACCCACCTGCCACATCTTGTCTACCTCGCACCATCCCAAATTATGAGATGATCAGCCCTCCATGCTGGCCACGTTATCCACAGGGTCGCACCTTTCCAACACCCTTGCATACTCCCCACACGTGTAGCATGGCGCTTCCGCGCCCTCCCATTCACTTGCTCGTTCCCCCCCACTGCGTGGCTGCTATGTGCAGGAAGATAGTGGATCTGATCTGCACGCTGGTCTTTTCCATCCTCGTGCTCTTCACAACGTACCGCATGCTGCGTGATGTCATTGACGTGCTCATGGAATCAACTCCACGTGGAATCAACGCCTCCGAGGTCCGTCACAACACAACCCATGCTTGCTCTCATAGCCCCTGAGCGCACCGTGCGATCTGCGTAGCCCTCGTACCAGTGAACCTCCTCTGTCTGCAGCCAATCGCTCCACACCACTCATTATCAAATCCCATTACGTGTTCCTCCTCCCTTGCTCCCTCATTCCCCTGGGCTCCGCTCCAATCCGCGTCCCTCACGTCTCCCCTCTTGGCGGCCTTGCGGATGTTGGGTGTGGCGGCAGGTGGAGGCAGGGTTGAAGACGCTACCAGGCGTGGAGGACGTGCATGAGCTGCACATCTGGGCGCTCACAGTGGGCAAGGTGATGCTGGCGTGCCACGTGCGCATCGACGCACACAGCAACCCCGAGGACGTGCTCAACGCCGTGCTGCGCTTCTGTGAGCGCACGTACCGCATCAGCCATGCCACCGTGCAGGTGGAGCGCAGCCGCGTGCTCGCGCTGCAGGGCTCACAGTCAGCTCCGGATATAGTGTCGTCGCCACATGGTGCTGATGATGCATCTCTTGACTCACTTCCAGCCTCCAGCGCCATGACCGCCTCTGTTTCGTAGCGTTTAGGTGTTGAGGCTTGTTCCGATTCCAGGCGACACTTTTGCCACTCGCAAAAGGCAGGCATGCTTGCTGGCTGGCTGTAGATTGGGGATGCAGCAGCGACTTCCGGTAGGCTGTGCAGTACTGAATGCTAGCTCTTCCTTGCACCACCAAACCGGACACAGTTGGGATTGCACATATGGTATGTAAGATTTAATGTGGCCACCCATGCCATACTACACACATTCCACACCAAAGCATCCTGCTGTTAGATATTACGTGGTCTGAAGGGTGTGGCGTTGTTTTGCATCCGTGGGACAACAAATGGATGCCTGCCAGACAACCCTGCAAGATCCGGCTATTTCATTGCACAACCTAGACAAGAAACAGAAGGAATTGGCATGATACAGAACGGCAGGCTGCGAGGCGCAGTGAGCATGCGTCAGCATCAAAAGGCGTGTGCATGCGAGGGAGGAAGGGCATCAGCTGCTATGCTAGCCTACCATAAACAAGAAGGGAGGGCGACTACTGCAGACACAAGATGCTGCTACCGCACAAACAGTCCAAGCACACCGTATGCAACTGCAACATGAATAAAACAAACACTTGTCCAAAACCAGAGAGCTGACAAACAGCAAGCCCATGTGGTCGTCCTCTTCCTCTAGTACAAAATTCACTTCAATCCCACGCTTTCTCTTCCGCATGTCCCATCCTCCTTATCTTCCTGCTCCTCCCTCTCCTCCCCCTCCCCATCCACCTCCGGAATGCCATCCAGCCATGCCCCCACCCCCTCCTCACCACCCTCACCACCGCCACTCCCTCGCCCCCTCCCTCTGCCACCACGCACACCCCGCCCTCCCTTCCTGCGGTCCCTGCTGCCGCCTCTCCCTCGCCGGGTCTCCTTGCTCTGCTCCTCCAGCATGGCAATAAACGCATCCTCCACGCCCTCTAAATCCTCCGTGCCCGCCCCTCCACACACCTCCTCCACACCTCCCCACACCTCGCTCGCCACTGCTTCTGGCACAAAGGCAGGGGCAAGCTTGTGCTTGTCCAACGCTGCATCTGCTGTTGCCGCATTCACAGTCGCTGCATTCACCACCACACCACAGCCCTCGCTTCCCCCTTCTCCAGAAACAGGAGCTTCTTCAACACTCGTTTCGGCCCCCTCACCCACGCACACCCTCTCTGCTTCACCTGCACATCCCACATCTACCACAGCTCGCCCATGTGCCCTGCCTTCACAAGGACTCTCGCCATGCAACAGCTCCTCCTCACTACCCATAGCCCCACTGCCCCCCTCCCCCTGCTCACCCTCTGTCACTACCTCCGGTCTCATTCTCCCCTCCTCTCCCTCCTCGCCCTCGCCCACTCCCTTTGCTTCCTTTCCCCCCCCGTCCTCCCGAGCACCGTCCTGCAACTTGTTGGCACTCACCTGCCCCGCGCACTCGTCTGCGGGCCTCCTCTGCCCCTCGCCCTCGCCCCACGCCCCAAACTCCTTCCCCCCTTCCCCCCCCAAAGCGCCAAGGGCAGCAGGGAGCGGGGCAGCAGCCCAGTGCGCGAGCGGAGCCCCTCGGGGCGGGCTGGACGCGGGGCTGTTGTGCGCGCTGCTGCACGGCAGCGCCACCGCTTCCAGCTCCGCCTCTGCCGCCGCCGCACTGAAGGCCCTCGAATCCGCGCGCGCCACTCTCGATTCCGCCCCACCCCCGCCCCCCGCCCCCCACGCGCCCCCAGCTGCGCCTATGCCGCTCGTTCTCCGGCTGATCTGCAGCTCGTATCCGAAGGTGGCGAGCAGCGTTGCGCCGGAGGCGGCGGCGGAGAGGGGGAAGGCGAGCGTGTGCGGGCGAAGGTCCGTGTCTTGGAGCGACCACGGCACCAGCCGCGCCAGGTCTACCGCGTGCCGCCCCACCTCCACCTCGCTGCACCCGCTCCCCCCCCTCCCCACTCCCGCACTCAACCCGGAACCTTCCGCCGCTGCTGCGCATGCCCTTACTCTTGCATCCTCCCCTTCCCCGCTCCCCGCCCCCACTCCGCCTGCGCCTGCGCCCTGCGCGCCTCTGACGCGAGAGCCTCCGGAGCGGTTCATGAGGCGCACGACGAGCGTGGAGGGCTTTTCCTGGAAGCGCAGCGAGTGGTGCGGGCCGGGGGTGCAGTAGAGCGTGCACGAGAGCTCGAGCGTCTGCTCGAACTGCACCACGCCGTCGCGCACGGGCGCCACGCTCGTGCTCACCGCCATGCCGCGCCTGTGCCACAGCACCATCGCCTCCCACTCTCCGCCGCCGCCGCTGCTGCTGCTGCTACTACTACTGCTGCTGCTCGAGTTGCTGCTACCGCTGATGACGACGCTGCCGGTGCTGCTGCTGCTGCTGCTGCTGCTGCCGCTACTGGTAGTGGTGCTGGAGGCAGCAGTATCCGCGGAAGCGTCGAAGGGCGCGGGGAGGCCGAGGATGCCGTGCACGTGGAGCGTGAAGAAGCACCGGCACCGCCGCGCCGCCATGCGACTGATCGCCCGCAGTGGCGCCGTCAGCGGCGCCTTAAGCGGCGACCTGAGGTTGAACCGCCCGAGCAGCAGCGGGGAAGGCGGAGGGACAGGGGAGCCGGACTGAGGGGAGGAGCAGTTCTGGGAGCGGCGATGGGAGGACGAGATGGAGAAGTAGGGCGAGCGCGGGGTGAGCGTGGGGGTGGAGGGGGTGGACGACGACGCGGTGGAATGAGCGGGTGACGCGGGGGCGATGAGGGACGGCAGAAGCGAAGCGGCCGGGTGAGCGGCGGTGCTGCTAGGAGCAGAGAAACCGACGATGGTCGTAGGAGCGGTGGCGAATGGCGAGTCGTCGGGCGCACTGGACTGAGCGGGAAACGCGGAGGAGGACGCGGAGGGGGACGGACTGGGGCATGCAGGGGAGAGTAAAGAGGGAAGGGAGGAGAGGGAGGAGAGGGAGGAGAATGGGGAGGCGGACGGGGAGGCCGCGGGAGAGAAAGCTGAAGACGACACTGGAACATCTGCTGCTGGGGCTCTGGGAGGCCGTGGCAGGGACATGGTGGACGACAGCGATTGGCTGAATCGGATTTGTTCGGCGAGCCATGACTTGAAACCGAGGGTGGGACGCGCGACGGTGCAGCGAGGATGGAAGGCGCCATATTCGCGAGCTCCACCGTAACGAGAACCATCATTGCTCCCTCTCTCCCCAACACCATCCGTCTGCCCTTCATCGGCACCCCCTACTCCCCTAGCCCCCTCACAATCACATCCGCTACCGGCAATTGCACCTTCGCACTGTCCGTTACAGACACTCCCGTTATATTCACAACCCCCTCCTTTCCAGAGCGGTCCTCCTGCGCTGTCAGCCGACCCGACGGAGCGCGAGTAGATGACGTCGTCCTTGGCGCTGACGCTGCGACCGCGCGCGCCGAGGCATCGCTCCCGCAGCACCGCCTCCATCGCCGCGTGACTCGGCGGACCCGTGTTGCACGCGCCTTGCGAAAACGTCTTAAACAGCGAAGGCCCGACCAGACGCTCGTCGCTCACTCCCATGTTCACGGCGGCGACAGCGGCGGATGCTGCGCCGCTGATGCGATATGACGAGTCAACCCCCATTTGCAAGATAGTTAATCTATCGTGGCGGCTCGAGAGCTCAACCAGGGTGGCGTTGATCGATTCAGGTAACACCCGAGAACATCAAGCCAGATGCAGCATTTGCAGGTTTACTCAAGCTTGGCGGCTAGCAGGCTGCTCTAGGGTGGACGCGATGTCTCCAGTCGCTGACAAAAAGGGCCATGCTGCTGAGCAACGCGAACTCTCACCAGCGAAGGCAGATAGGTTACAGAGGGCACTGCTCCAAATGTGAACGTGGAACAGAGGCGGTTTTTTCGGAAACAACACAAGCACCAGTTAGGAGGAGGTGGAAAGAGGTGGGTGGGGTGGTTGGTTGGTGCGACCAATGCATGTTGGGCAATGGACAACATGCATGTGAAGAGGGCTCTGTCTGTCCTCCCGCTTTTTCCAAAGGCGCTGCTGGAACTGGGGCGGGTGACGGAGGATTCGCGTGTGGAGAACGCGCGAGTGCTGGGATATGCGAGAAGTGGAAAAGAAAGTGGAGATTAATGAGATACTTCAGTAAGAGCGATTTTTGGTGGTGAGTGTGCAAAACGGGGCAGTGACGAGGAGGTTGTTGGTGGCAGACCAGATCCACGCGTGTGAACCATTCGATGTGGCGGAGCGCGGGGTCGGTCTAGAAGATGTCGTGACGGATCTCGTCAGGGGTGCGTGGTTTGTGGTTTCAGATGGGACGGTGGCAGGATTGGCAGGAGATGTGTCGCATCGAGTGGATGACGACGCCGAAACGCAAACTGACATGTTGGCAGCTCCAGCTGTGACGTCAGGCCAGGCTCCGTCAGAAACCTCATTTGTCAAGGACAGAGCTGAGTCAGACGCTTTGACTGAACGATTCATTAGGGTTTAGTGAAAACCGATACGATTTCCCTAACGACTCACACTTAGGGCGTGTGCCTTTTTTGCTCGCGACGGTTCGAACCGTGGACCGTCCGATTTGCGAAAATGTTACCCGTTTCGTCACTTGTCGTGAATGTTTCGTGAAGGTGTTGGCGACGTCGCCAGCGGTTCGAACCGTCGCGTGACTTTTCCCTCCAAGCAACGGTTCACATTCTGAACTTTTGGCAGTTCGAATTGCAAACGGACGGATGCACAGTTCTGACACTGGATTGGCGCGCGAAGGTCTCGAAAAACAAAAACCGAGCCGCATGTACAATTTATTTGAGGACCGCGCCTCGCGACTGAACATTGAACGTTCACATCACCCCCTAGCCCACCAACACTACAAAGGCCCCAGCAATCCGAACTGAACCCTCACACTCAGCCTGCAATGGAGCACTCTAGCGCAGGTGACAACTCTGAACCGGCCAACACCACCCCGAACACCTCTAGTCTAAGTCCCCATGCTGAACCCCCGCTCCCTCTAGATCTGCCAGAGGCAGAAGAGTCCCAGATCGCTGCTCAGACACTCGCCAACACTCAGCCCTCCACCGCAACCACCGTCACTCCAGCTGACTGGGGGGTCTACCAGATCCCTTCCCCCACAGCCTCTTACGACGCCGACGACGACTATGGTATCGGTGCTGACATGGACAATGTCGCAACTCTGGGCGAGGTAGAGGAGGAGCAAACGGAGCAGGAGACAGCCCCCACATCTGAAACTACAGCTCCTTCACGGCGATCTACAGGCAGGACTCTCCCTCGCTGGACCCCCGAAGAAGAATGCGAGGTCCTAGCCGCGTTCATCACCAGGCAGGCACAGATCCGAGCGCGCACTGGGCAGCAAGGCCGCAGTTGGTACCCATTAATCCAGCAAGAGCTTCTGGAGCAGAATCCCCGCTGGCGTCACGATGTAGCAGCGCTCAAAGCGAAGTACAATCGCATGAAGGAGCAATGGCGCAAGATCAACGACCGCAGCAAGCGCTCCGGGGCGGGCCGCGCTACTGGTCTCCCTGCTTGGTATCACCTCGGCGAGACTTTATGGGGTGAGCGCCCGAGTACAATCCCCCCTGTGCTTGTAGGCACTGGGTTAAATCGTCGCGGCGGTGGAGGGCGAACGGTTCGCACCAGCTCCAATGCGACGCCTACCGCGACAGCTCCCACCAGCACCGTTGTGCGTCGTACGGCAGCCGTCACTACGATTCCCTCGTCTGATACATCGACGGCTGCGGCGATCGCCGTTTTCGCACATCCGACAAACCCGCTCCCTCTGCCAGCAACGTTCCCCCCAACTGCAGAACCCGAGACAACTAGCACTGCTGCTGATACATCCGCTCCTACTAACGGTCTGGTATCGTCCGCACCTTTGAATCCCTCCTCCCCCTCTCGCGCTCCGCCACCCGTTGGAGACACCCCTTCCCGTCGCGGGCCCCTCTCTCCCTTGTCGCCAGACACAATCCCGCTTGCGTCTCCGACATCCGGTCCGCCTGATTCAGGTGCGACGACGGGTGTCTCGATCCGCAGTCGTCGCCAAATCTGGGGAGCGCGCCCGGCGACTGATGGGAAAGAAGGGTGCAGCCGCAACGCGTGGTATCAGTATCTACGCAAACAGACCGACGGCAAAGACGGGCAGCGGGGAAGGGGAGGTACAAAGGGCATCGGTCGCAACTCCGCAGGGAGACCGAAATCCGCGAGCACGGCAGAACTGGTGCGCGAGCTACGTGACCACAATGATAAGCGGCAAGATGAGAAGTGGGAGAAGTTCGAGACTCTTACCCGTGAGGTGCTTCGGAGCTTCGCGGATGAGCGACGCAGTAGGAGGCGAAGATCGCCGCAGTCCACCTCCTCATCCGAAGACGAGGCGTGAACCCGCGAACCTCCGCGCCGGTGAGTCGAAGTTGTGCCGCGGGACCCGCTAGCCACCACCGATTGCGCTCGCTCGTGGGGCCGAGGCGATCCCTGCTCCCGAGCGTGAGCTCAATATTGTGCAATGCGACGCACGCACTTACAACTTGCGGGACCCGTTCGCTGTGGCACTCCATCCGCGCGTCCAGAATTCTCCACTTCCCCTTCAGCCTCCCATTCACTTGCTCAACCACCATTCTCTGCCTTGACTGTTGTGTGTTCCATTTGTCTTTTGCCCGTGGCAGAGACCTTCCCGGAGTAGCCCGCCACGGAACGCAGGTGTAGTTTTTTAGAGCATACGCGGCATCACTTACAAGCATGTAGTTGCCTAGTTCTCCCGCTTCCATGCACTCCTTCAGCGGTGAATTGTTGAACACGCGTGCGTCATTCACACTTCCGGGGTAGCCGGCGTTGTAATCCCAAATGATACCGTTGCTGTCACATGCTATCTGCAGGTGTATGGAGTAGAAACCCTTCCTGCTTTTAAAGTCCTCCTTGTCTCGTCCAAACCCCCTGCACTCTATGAATGTACCATCCAACGCACCAATCACACCCGGAATACCCCCTTCGTATCTAAAGTCCTCTGCTATCTCGACGCATTGCTCAAGCGATGGGTGAGAGACCCGCAGAGGCTCTAGAATGTCCACAATGAAGGCTATGAAGTTGTGGATGATTCGGAAAGCGTGCGTGGGTACTACTCCAAACTGCAGTGCCATTTGACGAAATGTGGCACCCGTGCCTAGATAGACAAGAGTCATTGCCACACAAGTATCAATCGGCACTCCTCTCCGCCTGTCCCCAAACCTAGTGACCCACGCGTCAACTAGGTATTCAAAAACTGGACGATTAACTATGAACGTGTCCAAGAAAATGTGGTTCGGCATAGCTCCGATGAGAAGGTCCCACCGCGCTCTCTGGTTCTCGCGGTCACGTCGCATAATGTTACGGTCTTCATCTTCTAGAAGCAATATCACATCTCCGAGTTGGTCAATGGCTGGTCTAACGATAAACTCCTGGTAACCTCTGTATAACAGGTGAAGTACAGAGAGTAGGAGCCTCCTAGACATGGCGAAACTACGAGACTAGTGTGTATGTGCTCTGTGAACATGTTTGTTAGTGTGCTCGTTTCGATGTGTCGAGTTGTGTGGTGAGCTGGGTGGGTGTGAAATGTTTGAAATCGAGCCGCCGTGTGGTGAACGAAACTGGCGAGAGTGTGTGACTGGGGTTACGATGGTACAGTACCTCTAGCGAGTGCACAGTACTTCGGTAGTTTCAGATGTAGAGAAAAGTCACGTTTTTGCCTTCGGACAGTCTGCAGTTTCGAATTTTCGAAATGGACTGTCCGGTACTCGCTATTGGGACCGTCCGCTTCGATACAAGTGGACTGTCCGCGAAAACACAAAAAATCAAAAAAGGCACACGCCCTTATACTTCCCAACTTATAAAAACGCGGTGTCTCGGTAAAACGGTTCGAATCTGCGAGGCTTGTGATATCGGATTACAGATGAGTCTCCGACACCACCCCTAGCAGCGACTCAGATTCCACCAAGCTTCTGGTTTTGAGGGTCGCTCATGTCAGACTCATCTAACATTGAACAAGCTCCTCTCACATTTCTATGAGCAGCTCCTACCACAAGGTCACCCTGTTTCCCTACCTGCGGATCACCATCCTGTGCTTCCACGCGTTGCATCAATCTCCGTTTCTCTCCTTTCACAGCTTTACGAAACAACAACCCACAGAGTATTTGTTACTGGTATCTTCATCTACCGTCCTCATCCAGCTCTTACGGGTTAGGGAACAGCTCACTTTGTTACACTACATAACTTGAAGCCCTTTGCTTCACGTCGATCCAATGACGCGGCCCAAGAGGCCACGTGCTCCTTTAAAAGACAGAAGCGTCAATGCTGAGACGCCGAATGTTGCTAGTCTGGGAAGCAAGGTGTCTACGCAGATGTGGAATGAGATTGACGCAGAAGGTATGGAAGCGGCAATGATGCGAACTTTTTTCAGGCGTATGTCTGAATTGGGCTAACCACCTTATGACATCTGGTTTTGGCAGCCAACGCGAGGATAGAAGCTATGCGAGAAACCTTCAGGGAAAAGGCGAGAGCCATTAAGGAGCAGACAGAAGCTCAGATTAACTCGGTGAGTTACAAATACGTGCGGTGCGTTTCTTGCCATGATATATCTGCAGCTGACAGCCACTCATTAAGAGATTCTGTCTCGTGCAGCTTCCTGAAGAAGTGGCGCAAATGCCTGTGGAGGAGTATCTGAAGCAGAAGAAGCTATCGCTTGAGGAACTCCTGATTATTCAACAGATCAGCGCAAAGCAGTGACAGGTGCCCTTCTGTGCAGGTCGTCAGCAAGAACGAAAATCATGGACCCAGCACCCAGCATCCATGTTGCTTGACAGTTGTCACACTTGCAGTTCAATATGTACAGGTCATGTACAGGTCTTAAATCTTGCCACGGGAGGAGTGATAATGCCTGACGAAGTTTAGTAGGCACAAAAAAACAATGTATGGGATCATACTGTACTAACTTCTACAAATAGCTCTATACCTGAAAGCTCAAGATGAGAACTCGAAATATGGTACCACTGAACAAAACTGATACAGCCTCTGGCACTGTGCTTCTTAGGTGCCAAGCCAAACTGATATGGCTCTCAGTGGCTCTGTGCCAGAACAAGCAGCAAGTCATTATCAGTAATGGCTCCCCCCTGTTCCATCACTGCCTCCAAAGGCGTTTTCCCATACGAGTCTCTTAGAGAGACACTTGCCCCCCTGCAAGCACACATGAAAGACAGAAGTCAGTGACATGGTGGCCAGCTGGAAAAACATGGTCGCAGTGAACATTGCTGGGAAGTTACGGTAGATGGCAGGTTGGGAGAAGTGTGCCTAACCTGGCTATCAACTGCTTGGCACAGGCGGAGACACCAAGCAAGAGGCACCAATGCAGAGGTGTCCTTCCCATGGCATCCCGTGCATTCACATCAGCTGTCTGCTGAAGCAACAGCTCCACTGCTGCTGTGTCTCCCCGGTAACATGCCACATGCAGCAGACAACACCCATATGACGCATCCTCTTGCTCCGCCTCCCCATGGGCCAGCACACCAGAGGAGGAACTAGCTAGCGTGGTGTCAGACGCTGTACTGTCCCGATTCTGCTCCGTGTGTGGCCCTCTCGTATTGTTAACAGCAAAAGAATGTGAGTTGCGTTGCTTGTGGCTGCTGGGAAGGTAGCAGCAGATGGAAGGGCCCCCGTGACCTTCCCTTGCTGCTTAGACCAAGGGATGGGGATGTAAGGACGAATTTGAAAATCTAGTGTTGAAGAGTGTTATGGTAACAACGCCTGATGCCATGTGTGAACGTTATGCTTTCAAAACAGAAAGAGCAACAGAGGAGAAAGGGTGAGACATGCAAGGGTCTGTTGTCTCTGCTCTCCCATCATCCGACCATCTCACCTGCTCCCCCTTTCCTGCGTGTCATGTTGACATCTAGCCCAGCATTGAACAGCATTCTCGCTGCCTGTTGCAAGTCCCCATCCCACACCGATTGCCACAGTTGCTCCTCCGCTCCCTCCCTGCCACCGTACTGCTGCGTACCAGACACTAGGAACCTGCGCTCTACATACTGGAAGAGGGGAAAACGGACGGCGCTTGGCAGAGTGCGCCAACTGTGGCATAAGCAACTCCATACCGCATGGCACCATGAGGCCATGGAACATGCGCTTACACCCAAACTAGAGACACGAAAAGGGGCACAATTCAACACTGTAACCAGTCAATAGGTGGGTCGGCTTTTGCGGAGCAGAGAAGAGACGTACCTTAGCCTGGATGAACCGCTCCTTTACAGCCACTGGATCGGCAGGGGACGGCTTCCCTGCTTCTGCTGCACACGAAGAGGAGGAATTGGTGGCACCGAGGCCAACCTGCACTTGCGCTGCTGCATGCCCCGTGGCTTCTGCGGGTGCTTCCATACTGGAATCTGCACTCTCGCCTTGCTCCCCTGCCTCTGCCTCACATGCACTGTGGCGCGGCAGTGCCTCCTCCCACACCGTGTTGGCAAACTCGTTCCCCAGCGCCTTGAACAGTGCAATTACTGGCGGCTCCCACACCCGCACATCCAGAGTCAGCGACCGCACCTGAGGGCGAGAGGTGGGTGGGGGAGAGTTCGCAGAGAAAACGTAACAAGGAGAGGAAGACTGAGAATGTCATATAGCGGACGTGAAGAAAAGGTGGGGCTGAGGTGGGGGTATTTCTCCCACAAGTTAAAGGAGAGTGACATGCACTCTGTGTGTGAGCGCACGCACCTTGCTGATATGCACGCCCAGGTTCCGGTGCACGCCTGAGCATTCAATGCACATGAGCACACCCAGGTTGAGCGACGCCCAGTCAGGGTCGGGGGCCCCGCAGTCCACACAGCAGCGATTGCCCGCCACGTGTGCCAGCAGCTGCAGAGGCCGGTCCACGTGTGCTGCTGCGGTGGCACAGGAAGAGGATGTATCTGTTGCGGACCCGTCTGATGGCCGCGCTTGGTGCCATGAGGACGAAGGGTCGCTAGACAGGTGCGAGCTGCCCGTGGTGAGCGAGGAGGAGGGCGCCTGGTGCGGATGGGGAGGGGAGAAGGGGTGTGAGCGGGTGGAGTGGGGATGGAAAGCAGGAAGCGTGTGGGTGCGAACGGAACGATGCAATTTTGACAGGGGGATAACAAGTGATGTACCAAGGCTGCGGCAGGGTGAAGTAAAGTGAAGAGAGGGAGGGTGAAGAGTGCAAAGAGATGAGCGCGGTGCAGCAAGATGGGGGGGGGGGGGGGGTGGTACCGGGTTGGAGAGCTGCTGGTTGAGCAGGGTGGCGATGACAGCAGTGATGGTGTCCATCCACTCGCTGCGCTCCGCTCCATTCTCCGCCTGCAGCGTGTACGTCTTCACCGGCGATATGATCCGGAAGCAGAACCGCAGGTCCGACTGCTCCGCATCCATCTTTATCGTCGCTGTCAGCAGGTTCAGCACGTGATTCGACACCGACCCTCCCCCGCCGCCCCCGCCCCCTCCTCCCCCCCCATCATCCCCCCCGCCTCCCGCTTGGGAGATGGAGGGGGGCAGCGAGGAGACGTAACCGCCGAAGTCGCGGGGAGGGGAGGAGGCTGGGGTGGAGGAGTTGGAGTTGGAGGCGGAGTGGGAGGGGCGCAGGGAGAAGCCCCCTGCTGCGCCGCCTCCAAGAAAGGACTCCAGCGACAAGGGCGTGTCGCCGATAAGAGTGCCAAAGCTCGCCGACCGCACTCCCCCCTGCCCGCCGCCACTGCTGCTGCTGCTGCCCCCTGCGGCGCCAGCAGTGGGGCCGTCGCGGTCGCGGGCGAGCATGCGGGAGAAGATGGAGAGCGGGGGCATGCCGGGGCTGGGGTTGGGGTCGGGCGTGGACGAGCGTGCATGCAGCAGACCCTGCAGCTGAAACATGCTCTGCTGGATGGAGGGGAGGGGAAGGGGGGTTGAGGAGGGAGGGGGCATGAAGGAAGGTACGCGTGTGGGAAGGGGGAAGGTTACGATTCTACGGAGATTGGTGGATGGTGTTTGACAGAGCAACAAAGAGATGGCTCAAGAAGCAGGAAACGGTCATCAAATGTCTTTGCAGGGTTACAAGTGTTACGGGATGTGAGGGGGCTGGGTTGGGCGTACGGAGGGTTTGGGCTGCTGCTTGCGGTAGTAGTAGAGCATTCCCCGTGAGTCGAGCACAAAGAAGCGGCGCTTCCAGTCCGCTCTCAGGTTGGAGGAGCGCTTGAGTAGATAGCCCTGCTTGATCACTTGCACCTGCTCTCACCCATGCACGCACTCCACACACGCACACCAGATCACACCCACGCAGCAGCAATAGCAGCAGCACATACACCATTGACACAAACACACACTTGAGGTTTGAGAGATGTCAGAAGTGGTGCAAACGCATACACGTCTGGCACAAACACACATGGTGGCGCCCGAAACTCACTCACGAGCCTGCTCTGCTCTGATCTGCTCTGCTCTGATCTGCTCTGCTCTGATCTGCTCTGCTCTGATCTGCTCTGCTCTGATCTGCTCTGCTCTGATCTGCTCTGCTCTGATCTGCTCTGCTCTTATCTGCTCTGCTCTGATCTGCTCTGCTCTGATCTGCTCTGCTCTGCACTGCATGAGCGTGTCCAAACCCCACTCCACCTCCCTCCCCATTCCCCACACCTTTTCCCCACCCTGCATACAAATCCCTTCCTCGCACCTTCCCGCACCTTCCTCAGACCTTCCCCCCACCATCTCCCCACCTTGCCCTTGGGAGTGGACGCCATGAGCTGCTCGATGGCCTTCTGCAGCGAGTTGCTGCCTCCCGCCCCCAGCAGCGCCTGGTACGGCCCTCCCCCGCCGCCCCCCCCGCCTATCCGCTCAGCGGCCTGTGCGCTCTCGTCCCCACGGGCGAGCTCCATCTCCTTGTCGCGCTGGTACTCGCCCATGCGCTCGCCCAGCACCGCCTGCTCCTGGTTCCCATGCTCCCGCGCCTGCTGTGCGTATGTCAGCACCTGCAGAGGCGTCCAGGGGGGTGGGCGCAGGGGGGTGGTGGTGTAGTGCAGGAGAGGAGGATGAGGAGTGGAGCGTGAGGGTGGTGGTCGCAACTCGCAGGGGCATGTGAGCGATGCATGTGGGAGGAGGATTGTGAGGGATGTGTGCATGGGCATGCATACCTGATGGATGTACGGCTCCAGTGCATGCAGCACCTCGTAGCTCTGCCTCCCATGCCATGGCGCACCGGATGGGGGGGAGGTGTGGGGAAGGGACGGGGGGTGGTGGCGGGGGAAAGAAGTGGGAGTGAACAGGCCTACCGAGAAAGCACCTTTGAGGAGAGAAAGTGAGGCATCATAAAACAGGGCCAACGGGAGGTGTGCGGAAGGGAGAGCGGGGGAAGGGGGGAAGGGGGGGGTTGAACAAAGTGTGATAGAGCTGGCATGTAGCATGCACCGTATCCAGATGTGACGTCCACATGCATCAGGCAGGCCCACAGACACACCATACACGATGCATGCACACGCGGCACATAAGAGAGCCTCCTGGAGTGGAGAGGCACACCTGCTTGTAGAAGCGCAGGTGGGCATCCATGGTGGAGGCAATGGACTCTATGAACTCATACTTCTTCCTCGAGTCTATGCTCGACAGCGCTGCCACCTGCCATGCCATGCCATGCCATGCCATGCCATGCCATGCCATGCCATGCCATGCAAGAGCCGCGTGCAAGAGGGTGAGGGAAGCGGACAAAGTGCACGGGTCGGTGACGAGAAACACTGGGAGGGAAAGAGAGCGCAATTTGATGCAGTGAAGCCGAGGCGAGCACTACACGCATTGGAGCATGGGCCCGTGTAAGTGGCAAGTCCACAGCAGCATGGTTACCCTCTCACATTCCTGCCATTGCACACAGCCAGTCGACACAGCTAGACTACACGTCCTTCTAGCAAGGCCATGTGCATCCAGCAAGCAGCAGGAAGGCACGGTGGGGAGGCGGAAGGGCTTACAAGGGCGAATCGGGCCTTCTCGTAGTGCATCCTGGCGGTCTGAAAGTCGTCCTCCGCCTCCCCCATGACCTCCGCGCGCGTGTCCTTCTTCATTGACAGAAACCGCTCCCTCATCTGCCCCCCGTGCCATGGAGCGCGGTGGGGAATGGTCGGGGGGGCGGGGATGAGATGGGGCGGAAAGGAGGAGCGGAGGTTATTGCAGGTGTGGAGAGCTAGTGAGGGCCGTGGCACAGAAGTGTGGAGTGGAAGGGAGGATTACAACGGACTGTAAATCACAGTGGCAGCACGAAGGTCATTCGTGTTGACATGACGGTAAGAGCAGGAATTGCATCGCACAAGTCATTGTGCGAACCAAAACACACCCACACCCCCACAATCCCCACACCCTCATACCTTCACATCCCCACGACCCCATACACACACACACACACACACCCATCCCTCCTCCCCACACAGAAACGCCAACCCCTTCCCACCCCCCACACACACCTGGTCGTACTGCTGGCTGGCCTTGTCAAACCGCTTCCGAACCTCCTGGCACAGGGAGAACACGGAGCAAGAAATATACAGCGGGACATTGCCATGGGTGAGGTGAGTGAAGGGAGGAGGCAGTCGGGATAACAGGAGGGGATGGAAGGGTGGAAGGGGAGCAAGCTGGTAACGAGTACGAAAGCACGGAAAAAACAGGGCGCTAGAGAGAGTTTGCAAGACTGTGTGTGGTTGAGTGCTCCATCACACAGAGCATAAGGCGCAATGGTGCCAGTGTGTGTGAGGGAGTGGGAGTGTGTTTGAGGGAGTGGGAGAGTATGTGAGGGAGTGGGAGTGTGAGTGAGGGAGTGGCAGCATTGCGACCTTGAGATTGTGCAGGTCAGTGTCCTTGAACTTGGCCAGACGGTCTATCAGCATGTGCTCCACCTGCACTCACACCCATGCATACCCATGCACGCATGCACACATGCACGTGGGGTGATTGGTGATTGTTAAGAGCATAGGGAAGAGTAAGTGAGGGCGAGGGGAAAGAGGGAAAGAAAAAAGGAGATGGGGGGGCGGGAAAGCAGGCAGGAGGCGTGGCGAACCTGTGATTTGAGAATGTCCTTGTGCGACCTGAGCTCCTTCAGTGTGTCTATGAAGGGCGTTAGCACCGGCCCTGCAGCACCATGCGGACCAACACACACATGCAGGCATGCACACATACACACATGCAGCCACATGCAGACACACACATGCAGACAAACAAAGACGCAGACACATAAGCATGCAGACACGCACATGCACACGCACGCAGATGTAGACAAGCATATACATGCAGACCCAGCAGGGGTCAACAGAATGCAGAGCATGAAGTTGGAGTAGAACCGGCACGTGACTCAACAAATAACTTGTCAAACATGAATGGCAAATGTGCTATTAGCCCTTGCAGCAAGCCTCCCTCCCGCAGGCAGGGGAAAAGAGCTGGTGGTGGCGATGAGGGGAGCCACGCAGTGCACGTGGGAGCGGCGCACCTCCTATGGACACACTGAGTGAGTCCTCGTGGCTGCTGGCGAAGCCGTCTATTGCAGTCGCAAACGCCAGCTCTGCGTCCCTCGCCTCCACCATGCTGTCACTGCTCATATACCATGCCATGCCATGACATGACATGCCATACCATGGCAAATGCCGTACAGAGCACTGAATTGTGTTGTGTTGCCATGCCCAGGCATGGGCCACACACTAGGATATGGGATGAAGAAACGGCATAAGATGCGAGCAAGGAAAGCGGCATTGTCACACAAGATAATGGAATAACTTTGCGAACTATAAGCAACCATGCGGGGAAGGCACGGAGGGAGTAGGAGGCAGTGAGTGCGAGGGCGAGGGCGAGCATGGCAGGAGAGGCGGCACCTGTACTTGCGGCAGCTCTTGTGCAGCTTGTTGCACCGCTCCCGCAACACCTCCGCGCTCTCCTCCAGAGCCTGCAGCTGCCGTCGCACAACCAGGTCACGGCGCGTGCCGGCCAAGGCGATTCACGCGGGCGGACGGTGAGAGCGGAACGAGACGCGGGAGGTGACACATGGAGATGTGTCAGATTGGACCCAGCGATGGTTAAGACGCAGTTACAGAATTAAGGAATGCGAAACAATAGGGATAATGGAAGCACCGCCGAGAGCGGGTGTGAAGAAAATCGTAAGCGCACCAACCCGCTACTGTCCAAGACGGCATGCTAACTGGTATAAAGTTCAGACAACGACAAATAGATGATAACACGAAGTAATGCGTCGTTGCACGGACCTGCCGGCGAAACATAGGAGAGTCATCAAGTCGCGCGAACAGCATGGTCGCGAGCAAATGATAAAGTGAGAAAAGGCTGTTTGCAGCAACCGATACAAAATTTGGGTCTTGATTAGTGGAGAGAAGAGCGGAGGAGAGTAACGGGAACAGCAACAAACTTGAACGGGTTTCAGTAAGGGGTTCCGCGGGAGGTCTCAGCAAGCGCCGTCAGATCAGGGGAAGCGTAATGTGCGGCGTTTAGTGATGGGAGAGCTTTGGGGGGATAGTTGTGGAGCTGTGATCAGTGAACGTCCCCATAGAGTAGTTCTGTATGGCTCTGCAGTAAGATGCGGTTTGGGGCACGAGGTGATTGTGACGGAATGTTAACTTCGATGTCGTACACCAAATTTATTAGACTATTCATATAGTTTTCATCTACTCTAAGGGCGTGGAACATCTGGAAAATTTTACAAACGAACGGTTCGGTTCGGAAAAATACCGCTCTGAAACGTACTGATACAATCTGAACCGTCTTACATGATCGTCTCAGGTTGATCGCACGGAGTGTAGCAGCGGAAGATTGCTTGGTGATGTCGGGTACGGACTCTGTCAATAGAGGGAGATTTGAATCTCGACATAAGTGACTACTACAATGTGGTACAGGGGTTTATATAGGAATACAGTGGAATTCGAAAGGTCCTAGCTAGCCATGCACTCTGAGGGGGTACATTCCCCTTAGGGCTAATCTAGATGCAGGATTGCAACCGTGCGGTTCGGTAACCGTACGCGGTTCGGTAACCGTTTGAAGTTTTCCCGCGCTTTGCACTTCGAATTCGTCCTGCTTGTAACTGTCTTTGATAAATGTCTTGTCGCTGGGTCTTTGTCCTCGCTGCAGTCATCTTCGCGTAAAGGGTTTGTTACTTAGGGATGTTTACTCAACTATTCCATATCGTAACACTCCCCTTCATTCCTGGAGGAGCTAAGTCTTGACGCGATTGGTCATGCCGCAAATGTTTCCGCAGTGATGGTACTGCTGACGTGGCAGCTTCTTGGTGAGGAATTCAGATGTCATGTGTCAGAGGTCCACTGGTGATCCCTGATTGATCCTAGGGAAGGGTTACTGTCAAATTATATGCCTATGTCATAATAGAATGTAGGCTTTAGTGGGGTAGCTAATGTAGGGTATAGTTTTTTGTTACTTGTACCCAACTTTCTCGATAGTGCACCAACTTTTTCCCTTTACTCTCGACATGGTATTCAGAGCAACATAGGTCCTTAGGACCGTTTTAGGACTGTTTTTCAGGGCCCACCAACCGTTTTCCGCCGGTTACCGAGTTACCCCGCCCCTTGCCTACACTGCCCTGCGTCGCGCAGCCCTCGCGCTCGCCTCTGCTGGCCCTCGTACAGCCCGCTAGCAGCCCGCCTGCTGCCTCGTCAGCCCCGCGCGTAGCCCGCTAGCTGCCTTGTCAGGCCCGCGCACCGCCCCGCAGCCCCCGCGCTGCCTTCTCCCGCCCCGCGCGTCGCTTCGCAGCCCTCGCGCTGCTTTTTACGGCCGCCGACGCGGCCTCGCCCTGCCGCGGTAGCGGCCCCACCCTGCCGCCGACGCGGCCCCGCCTGGCCTGCGCGCTGCCCCCCGTCGCCAGTCGCGGCACCTGTGGGACCCGCGCGCTGCCCTGCACCAGCTACGCCGCCCCTGGTGCAGCCGCCCCTGGACCCTGGAGCAGCCGCCCCTGGACCCCGAGCAGCCGCCCCTGGCCCCTGAAGCAGCCGCCCCTGGTCCAGCCGCCCCTGGACCCAGAGCAGCCGCCCCTGGCCCCTGCAGCAGCCGCCCCTGGTCCAGCCTCCCCTGGACCCCGAGCAGCCGTCCCTGGCCCCTGAAGCAGCCGCCCCTGGTGCAGCCGCCCCTGGACCCTCGAGCAGCTGCCCCTGGACCCAGAGCAGCCGCCCCGGGCCCCTGAAGCAGCCGCCCCTGGACTCCGTGCAGCCGCCCCTGGATCCCGCGACGCCGCCCCTGGACCCGCGACGCCGCCCCTGGACCCCGTGCAGCCGCCCACCGAGCGCCGGCCCTGCTCGCCCGGCGAGCGCCTGCTCTTCCCGCCACTGGTGAGCACCTGCCTTGTTAGCGCGCTGCCGCGCCATCTGCCTGCCTGCCTGCCTGCCAGCCTGCCTGCCTGCCTGCCTGCCGCGCTTGCTCTGCTAGGCTACTGCTACTGGTACTGGCGGTGGCCAGATGCAGCTCCAGCGACGTCCGCGCGAGTCTCTCACGCCCCAGCAGCTTCGTGAGTGGTACGTTAGTTGGGGTTGTGGCGGTAGTCGTCGTCGCTGTCGCCCTGGAGCTGGTCAGTTGGGAGCGTCTGGCAGTGGCCAGCTGCAGCTGCAGCGGCGTCCACGCGAGACACTTACGTTCCAGCAGCTTCACGAGTGGTACGCTCAGAGTAGAGGGTCTTTGAGTACCGTTCGCTGCCCGTACGTCATTCGCACAGGTGATCGGACGGGTCAGACTTGCGGGACGCTTAGTCACACCCAGTCCCGCTGCTTCGCCCGTCTGAGTGACGCCTGGCGTACCGAGTTTGGCGACAAGGCTGAGCTCCCTGACTGGGTGGAGCTGCTTGGGCAGAGGGTAGATATATTTGCTCTTGACTATGATGCTATTCTCACTGCCATGCATGCATTGCCTACTAGTGCTGACCGTACCTGTTACCTGTGCGTACCGCCTGACCCAGGTATAGAGCCTGCTGCTCTCGGTGCTGGTGAGGCTGCTGCTCTAGGTGCTAGTGCGTCTCCTGCTCTGGGTGCTGGTGAGGCTGCTGCTCCAGGTGCTGGTGAGTCTGCTCTCTTCGGTGCTGCGCCTGCTGTGTACACCTTCACACTTGACTCAGGTGCTTCCCGCTCCTTCTTTCGCGACAGCACCACCCTCACGCCGCTCAGCCGGCCGGTTCCAGTCTCCCTGGCAGACCCCTCTGGGGGTCCAGTCCTTGCGCACTCCTCCACGGTCCTGCCGTGTCCGGCGGTCCCGTCTGGCTCTCTGTCAGGTCTTCACCTCCCCTCGTTCTCTACGAACTTGGTGAGTGGTGCTGACCTCCAGGACCAGTGGGTTGACCAGTTCACTCCTGGAGGTCAGCGCGTGACCCACTGTACGTGCTCCCGGACGGGCCGGCACCTGGCCACGTTTACCCGTGCGCCTGGCTCGAGTTTGTACACACTGACTACTGTGTCCCCTCAGGTCGCTGCGTCTGCGTCTGCGTCAGGTCAGCTAGTGCCCCCCTGCTCGTGTCGCGCTTTGTCGCACCAGACCCTCCTTTGGCACCACCGCCTTGGTCACCCCTCGGTGCAGCGCCTTCGTAGCATGCACCGCCATGTCCTTGTCTCTGGTCTTCCCAGGGTTCTCCCTCCCCTCCCACCCTCGCCTGCTCCTCCCTGTCTTCCCTGTGTCGAGGGGCGGCAGCGCACCGCTCCTCACTCCTTCTCGTTCCCTCCCACAGAGGCTCCCCTGCAGACTCTCCACTTGGACGTGTGGGGCCCAGCCCGCGTCCGTGGACAGGGCCACGAGCGGTACTTCCTGCTGGTCGTCGACGACTACACGCGTTACACCACGGTCTTCCCCTTGCGCACCAAGGGTGAGGTCCCTGATGTTTTGATCCCTTGGATCCGCGCTGCTCGTCTCCAGCTCCGCGAGCGGTTCGGGACGGAGTTTCCCGTCCTGCGTCTGCACTCTGGCCGAGGTGGGGAGTTTTCCTCCAACCTCTTGGCAGCCTTCTGTGCGGAGCACGGCATCCGCCAGACGTTCACGCTTCCGGCCTCTCCGCAGCAGAATGGGGTTGCTGAGCGTCGCATTGGCTTAGTCGTGGAGGTCGCTCGTACCTCCATGATCCATGCGGCTGCCCCCCATTTTCTGTGGCCGTTTGCAGTCCGGTACGCCGCGCATCAGCTCAACCTTTGGCCCCGTCTCTCCTTGCCGGAGACCTCGCCCACACTGCTGTGGACGGGGAAGGTTGGCGATGCGTCACGTTTCCGGGTCTGGGGTGCTCGTGCCTTTGTCGCGATACCACCGCGGACAAGCTCTCCGCCCGCACTGTTCCCTGTATTTTCCTTGGCTTTGTCCCTGACACACCTGGTTGGCAGTTTTACCACCCCACCTCGCGCCGTGTCTTCCCCTCTCAGGACGTCACGTTCGACGAGTCGGTTCCCTTTTACCGTCTCTTCCCCTACCGCACTGCCCCTCTCCCCCCCCCGCCGCTCTTCCTCGCTCCAGGTGCTCCCCAGGTAGACCCCCTCCCCGCTCCCAGTCCTGCTCCTTCAGGTGTGTCTCAGGTAGACCCTCCTCCCTTGACTGCGCCGGTTGAAGTCACTGGTGACCCGGGTCCTACTGAGGGTGGTCCTGCTCGGGGTGCTGCTTCTGGGGGTGCTGAGCCTGGGGGTGCGGAGCCTGGGGGTGCTGAGCCTGGGGTTGCTGAGCCTGGGCGTGAGGAGTCTCGGGGTGCTGAGCCTGGGGGTACTGAGCCTGGGGGTGCTGCACCTGGGGGCGCTGAGGCGTCTCGTGAGCGGTCTCCCTGGAGCGGCC